TGACACATAATAAGATGGCTTTTGGGTATAGCTTACATTACCCTCTGGAGTCTGATAGAGTATTTTCAAGCTAGAAGAAATGCTCAACTTTCTTTTCTTTTTTTTTTTTTTTTTTTTTTTTGAGATGGAGTTTCGCTCTTGTTGCCCAGCTGGAGTTATACATATTATATACTCCAAGTATTATATGTATATATGTATACTCCAAGTATTATATATTATATACTCCAAAACTGTGAGTATATATATACACACATACACATATATATATTTATACATACATATACACACAATTTTGGAGTATGTAATATATAAGGTAATACTTGGAGTATATAATATATATAAAATACTTTGAAGTATGTAATATATATTATATATAGTATAAAATATATAATACTTGTTTTGGAGTATATAATATATAGAGAAAGCATAGCGTTATGGTCATGAGTTTCAGCTTTGCATTTGGATAGTCTTGGGTTGGAATTCCAGCTCTGTCGCTAAATGCTGAGATTTTTCAGTATGCTACTTAATTTTTTTTTTTTTTTTTTGAGACGGAGTCTTGCTCTGTCACCCAGGCTGGAGCGCAGTGGCCGGATCTCAGCTCACTGCAAGCTCCTCCACTCGGGTTCACGCCATTCTCCTGCCTCAGCCTCCCGAGTAGCTGGGACTACAGGCACCCGCCACTTTGCCCGGCTAGTTTTTTGTATTTTTTAGTAGAGACAGGGTTTCACCGTGTTAGCCAGGATGGTCTCGATCTCCTGACCTCGTGATCCGCCCGTCTCGGCCTCCCAAAGTGCTGGGATTACAGGCTTGAGCCACCGCGCCTGGCCATATGCTACTTAATTTTTAATGTCTTTGTCTCCACTTGTAGAATCGGAAAAAAAAATAGTACTTTCTTCGAAATCTTTCTATGAGAATTAAATGAGATCATTCATGTTAAAGACATTAGCCTGCTGCCTGCTAGTCCTTTAAGATCTATCATTATCACCTGTATCCTAAGCCTCCTCAAATATTAAGCTATTAGAGGTTATGTACCACCAGAAACTCACATTCTGTGCACAAGCCATTGACGCTCCACCTGGTAACAGAAGCACCTGGCATATGGGAGCCTCTTAGCAGAGGAAGATATAGGGCTCTGGGATAGTGAACGAATTATCAGAGACTCAGAAGAAGACAATGACTGAATTGGAGACACCAGCCAACCCAAGATTCCAGGTGTTTTGAAAGAAAAATTTCTCTTTGCTTAGCTGTGCTTTGCTTTTAATCTTGTAAATAGATCTTAAGGTTGTAACTCTAAACATTTACTTTTTTCTCTGACACTGGTGTTTCTCTCACCCTGCCTCCTCTGACACTCTGATTCCCTCAAACTCTATTATTGGTGGTGTTTTTTTCACCTTGGGAAAGAAGTCAGAGTACCAAGGGAATGTGCTCTTCTCAGGCAATTTAATCTGACACAACAGTGTTATGTGCAGTACAAGTTATGTACTGCCCTGGTTAGTGCTTTATAAACAAGAACACGTCTTGAAAGCCATCACTTACTGTATGATTCCCACGTAGTTCTCAATCTCTGTCAAGGGAGCTTTCCTCCAGTTTTTCTTATATCCAATCACCAGAGTGTTTGGTTTCATTCTTCCTAAGCCTGAGGCCTAAACAGAGGACATAAAAACATGGGCAATCCTTACCGTACTGGGAAACTACCAGCACAAATGAAAAATAATGTCTAAAGGAGCACTGAAGTAATGTTCTGAAGATTCTGAAGATTAGATTACATTTTAGTGCATGTCCTTCATGCCCGTACCCAAGCATAAAATAGAAAGATTAATTCTAAATCATCTCAGCTATAAATGGATTTTAGATGACAGAAATGTAGCTTTTCTAAATTAGCAGTCATTTGCATTTCTTCTGACACACTCATTAAAATGGTTCAATAATTTAAAATCAAGTGAGGGTCAGCTTAACTGTTGGTATGCATGTTGTAACTTAGTGGTTCAAAGCTCATTTCCACCTGTTATATCCATAATGTCATCAGCAATAAAATCCATGTTTGGAAAATTCTTATGTACAAGGATCACTGAAATCTCTACTTATGTTATTTATTGAAGAGTGACTGAATTATGTTTCCAAAACCTAATTCTTTTATATGACAGTATCATTAATAGCCGTCTTCCATATCAGAAGTGTTGTTTCCCTTCATTAGACGACAGCATACAGCTTCTAGTTAATCAAATTTAATTTGACAATATTACTAAGCATCTATGAATTGCACAGTGCTACGTCAGTTTTGGTGGGAGAGTGGTGAAGCACATTCTTTGTCCTCATGGAACTAAACATGGTGAAGAAGACAATATTTACACAAATACTTCTAATATACATGCAAATGTAATAGAAACTCATATAGAAGAACAAAGGAAGGAAACTTGAATTACAGGTGAGGATTCATGGCCAGTTTCATAGGAGAGGTGGTATTTTGACTGAATCTTGGGAGCTGGTGAGACATTGACAGGTAACGATGGGAGAGCAGCCAGGTGCGATGGCTCATGCCTATAATCCCAGCACTTTGGGAGGCTGAGGTGGGTGGATCACTTGAGCTCAGGAGTTTGAGACTTGCCTGGCTAACATGGTGAAAACCCATCTCAACTAAAAATACAAAAAATTAGCTGGGCATGGTGGTGTGCGCCTGTAATCCCAGCTGCTCTTGAGGCTGAAGCAGGAGAATCGTTTGAACCCGGGAGGCGAGGGTTCCAGTGAGCCAAGATCGTGCTACTGCACTCCAGCCTGGGCGACAGAGTGAAACTGCATCTCAAATAAAAAAAATAAGATGGGAGAGCAGTGGGAGTCATGGAAGGTAGTTCTGTGTCATGGGAAGAGTGAAAGAAATGCCAGAGCTGGACATTTTAGAGGAAACAATAGCAGGTGGAAGGAGATAGGCAATGAAGGAGGGCTCCTGAAATAAACTTTGCCTCCAAAACATTTGGTGCACTGTTCCTAGCCCAGCAGCTTCTTGGAGTCCTCATTTGGCCCTTGGCAAATGTGTGGCAGTAAGAAGTTATGGATGTAGTCTTTTCCACAGCTACACTCTGAGGATTTGATAATTTGTACCATAACTTCTTAGATGCAAAGATGGTTTTATTTGAGATGATATAACTGCAGTGCTTCCTTTAATGTCACTTTGTCTTGTCCTTTTGCCATGGCTCCCCTGTACTTCACTTTTTATGTGAAGAAATGCATGTGAATGTATGCATGTTCAAATTTGCTACCATTTCTTCTGGATTAATCTAAGAGTTCTTTTTCATACTTGTGTCTTTTCTTTCCCTGCTCTTATTTTATGTCCATATTCCCATTCCTAGTTGAAAATTTTGTTTTACCAATCTTCTATGAAAATTTTATAATAAATGACTAATAGTGCCAATATATTTAACCAAAGAGCTATTGAAAACTAACTTGGTACTGAAAGAAAAATCAGCATCTTGCAGTAACACCTATTTCCATGGTTTAGCAAATTAATAACAGATGAAAAGGGGCTCATTGTGGGTAATAGGTTTTGCAGAAATGGTTTCTCTGCATGTGCAGCTACCTCGCAAGTGTTATTAAGGGAAATTAGACACAGGATTGCATCAAATACTCTTAAGCTCCAAAACATTACCAATTAAGCTTAACCAATATTTTTTCTTTCCTGCCTGCATGCGCATCTGAGTTACCTGGATGCAGTTCTGACTTCTGACACTCTGAGATACGGTAACTCTGAAAGCCAAATGCACCATTTCATATATACATAATTAGGGTTTTTCAACCATACTAAACCCAAAATGCTCAGAAAGCCAAGCTCTACAATTTCTGAGGGTCTCTTGGATTGTTTGTTTTAAGGATTCTCCGTCACTCTAAATTTTGAAGATCAGAACTAGGGAAAGATTTTATGTACTTACTATAGCAGAGATAAAGGAAGGAAAAAGGAAAAAAATAAGGGAGAAAAGATGAGAGAACTGTGGGATTTAAGGTTGAGCTGTAGAGATTATTACATTTTATTCAGCGTTCTGGAAATAATTCAGGAGGATAGGGAGATTTTATGCCCAGATCACCATGCATTAATTTAGTTGGTCTAGCAGCTGCCCTAACACCATTTGCAAAAGAAAAAAGGAAAAGAATGCCTGACTTGAGCGTTGCTATATGCAGTATGAGATATAAAAATAGTTTGAAGTTTCAATAGGATCCTGAATGTCGTCAACCACCAGAACAAATTTGCATTTCAATAAGTACGGGGGCAGAATGTATGCTGGTGGCCAAAGGCAACCTCATTTTCCATTTCCAGTGTATCATTCATAGTTCATTGTAATAGAACTTCTCTGCTTTTGTTCTAGCTTTGCCTATACCCAGGAATTCAAAATAATTCCTTAACCATCTGCACCGATCTCTGATGCTGGGCTGCCTAACTACAGCCGTTCACTCTGGGAGCCTCATTAACATGGAGCACTCATTGTTCTTTGCCCCTGTGCTCATTCCCTGAATGCAGCCTTACCTGAAGGAGACTTCGGACACCATCCCTGAAACAGTCTGCCGCCACTGCAGCGTAAAAAGCCTTGATTTTGTTCTTTATAAGCCAGGCCTGTTTTTTCGCCATGCCACCGTTCATCTCCTTAACACACAGTTTGCGCGGTCCCTGTGCGACACAATGAAATATTGGTTAGAACCCTGCTATTATACATCACATTGCTGTTGTTTTCTAAAGGACAAAAATAGCCAGCAATGCCCCATGGAGTTAGGAAGTGGGAAAGAGGGACAAACACCTCACTGAGCAGCGTTCCGCAGATTCAGCCTTTTGGAGAGGACCTGTGCTATTCACATCATTCATTTTCTACCCAAAACATCCAGACTGATTAACATCTGCTTAATGAACTGCCTGACACTGAATGAAAGGAAGAGCTGAGGGCGTCATGACACATGAGGAAAATACTGAAAATGTGATTGAAGAGGCTCAGGATAAATACACAATCAACCTTTGACCCGTTAGCGAGAGCCACTTTCAGGCACACCAAAGAAATCTCAGCTGGAGCCTAATGTCAAGAAATGGACAGAGCTCCATGGGAGGTAGAACACGGTGAGCCGCAAATCCTGCCATGAACTGCACATCTTGACAATTCTATTTGGCTGATGCATTGCTTTTTCATGTGGCAAAAATACTCTTATACCACTTTTTCCTGTGTAATGTTGCCACACTTCCATTCAAATACATTAACGTTTCCTTGTCATTCAGTGAATTGGGGGGGAATGAAAGTTTACATACCTATGACCTAAGGAGAGTGGAAGGGATTAAGAGGGAAGAAGACAGGTGTTAGGATGGTTGATAGGGCATTTTATAATTTCAAGACTTAGTTTTGGAAACCCATTTTTAATGAAAAATTCTATTTTTATTTCTTTTTCCTTAAATATTCAAGCTGGTTTTTTTCTTCTCATGCTGTAATTCAATCCAAAAGGTATTTCTGATTATCTGCCATATGTCTGACAGGGTACAAATCCATTTTCCCAGAAATTCTTTTAATTTATAGAGAGATTTGTATTTTGTTGAGATGGCTTAGATTTTACATGAATCACTTGGGATCTTGATAAATGCAGCCTTATAGGTATGGAAGCAGGGCTCAGGATTTTGTATTTCTAACAAACTCCTAGAGGCAACAGATGCTGCTGCTCCTTAGACCACACTTGGAGTCATGGTCTTAAAGGGTCTTAGATTGGAGAGAAAGGACATTGGGATGCAAGAAAAAAAAAAAAAAAAAAAAAGCCCAGGCTTTGCGGTCAGACAAAACTGGTCTCAGATCTAAGCCTGAGGAGGTAATTTCTTATCTCTGAGCTTTTATATCTTATTCTGAAACTGAGGATAAACTCTGGTTCCTGCAAGGTTGCTTTAAGTAGTAATAATATAGTACCTAGTGCAATGTCATCAAAGCCCCAGACCTGATTTTACCACTGTGCTTGCAGGAACACTGAACTGTGAGTCAGAATGTTGGGTTGAGATCTGGCACTGACTGGCTGACACCCTGGGTCTGCCATTTGTCCTCTCTCGATGTATGTTCTACATTGATAAAACTCAGGCAATTGCCTAGGTCATCACTGCCCAATTTGATAGCCTGTATGTCCATGCTGCTATTAAGCATTTGAAATGTGGCTGGTTCATATTGAGATATGCTGGAAGCACAAATTACACACTGGATTTCAAAGTCTTAGTACAAAAAAGAATGTAAAATATCTCATTAATGTTTCTGTAATGATTCCATATTGAAATTATAATATTTTGCTCACATTGGGTTAAATACAATATTATTAAGAATAACTTTACCTATTTCTTTTTTCCTTTTTAATTGGCTACTAGAAAATTTTAAATTACATATATGGCACATAATATGTTTCCATTACACAGCATTCAATCTCTGGGGTCCCTTCCATTTTAATATTCTATTTAAATTGGATCAGACTCTTTATATTCTTATTTTTTCCAGCATATTTCCTAGAACCTGCCAACTTTTCAGAACAGTTTGACTGACTTCCTATTAAAGGAAAATTTAAAAACAAGAAACTTCCATGAAGATAGAAAAGGTAGAGAGATTGGGAGGGTAGTTACTAAATTAGATGACCCAGTCTAAGGAAAGATAAGCCATTATGGATCAATTTAGCTCAGGTTTCCAGACTGTCAATGCCTTTTGAATCACTAGTCCTTCTTTGAGCATTCTAAACTTCTTCAACTGCAAGAAAAAGAAAGAATATTTTATTCAAGGAAGTTCAGTGGTAACAACAGCCATTAGATAGAAGAATAACAGAAAAGACTTTGAACCATCAGTGTAGTGAGTTGTACCACAGTGACTGTGAACCCCTGGGCAGAATGGCATTTATTTAAATAAATACAGTCTAACGTATGTCTGTTAGTATTATAAAAATCCAGACTAAACATTAATTGTGACAGAGAGATTTACTTTAATGCCTAAACTTGCCATATTGAGAAGTCATAAAAATGTTTCATGCAGAATCTCTCTTTGCTAAAAACGATTATAACATCATTGTAGCACACTTATTAATGCAAAGCAAAGAAGGCTGCAATACAAATGTAGTAAGAATAAAGCAAACTAACAAAGAGAAAAGACATACTGGAATACAATTATTCAACATTCAAATATGTCATAGTTAGAAAAATGAATTTTATTACCCCATTATAACATTATAGAGATTAGCTTCAGTTGGGATCCAAAATATGAGTACATACATTAATTCAGGATTCAAACAAAGAAGCTTTAAAAATCTTGTATATATTATAACTTTGATATTAATTGAGAAAGGGGTAAAGCATTTCTAATTATGTAGTGTGGAGAAGTTGATGTGATATTACTTTAAATAAGTGACTATCATGAAAAAGAGTTTGTAAAGGGGTTCCAACCCCATTCGGATCAAACAGAGGAATTGGCCAAGTGCAATATTCCTTCCAAGTTTTTTTTTTTTTTTTTTTTTTTAACACTGAGTCTTACTAGTCTGTCTTTGTTTTCATGGCTGCTTTGGTTGGAATTGTGGGAAAGAAAATTTTTCCCTTTCTGATTTGGTTCATGTTATTTTATCATATGTGCTAGTGCCAATTCATAGGTCATTTCGTTCTTTCAATATTTGGTCACGTCACTATTTTATTAACATCATAACAGAGGCTCACTGATAAAAAAAGAATAAGATGCATCTAGAAAGAATATATTTTTTCCTTGGTGGATGTGAAATTTGAGATTAAGAGGAGGTTGAAGATAGAAGAAAAAATGAGAATTTTAGTTTTCCCTGGGTTATATGAGCTTGAACTGCCTTCCTTATGCCGCAGAGTTAAGAGGTGGGTGTCCTCTGTGAGATTTATTGAGAACTCCTCAAACAGAGAATTCAAAGAGAGCTTTAGGTTTTCTTAAGATATTTTATAATTTTTTAGAAAAAAAAGAGAAAAAGAAACAGGGTAAAAGTCTAAGAGAGATTCTACATGAGAAAGCCGGTCAAAGGCCATCCCTTTCCTCCTTTACAGGAGAGGACAATCGAGTTTAAAGTAACATTAATGAGTAAGAAAAACATGAATGAAAATAGATTTACATTTCGGTATCCATGTGTGAAATGATGAGAAGAATACCCATAAAATTCAGATAACATTGCCTCTGGGGACAGAGAGAGCCAGCGGTCTGCAGCAGTATTAAAAGGGGCTTTAACTTGATCTGTAATGGCTTATATCATTTAAAAAGTGAGTGGAAGGCTGAGTGCAGTGGCTCATACCTATAATGGACTTTGGGAGGTCGAGGAGGGTAAATCGCTTGAGCCCTGGAGTTGGAGACCAGCCTGGGCAACATGGTGAAACCCTTTTTCTACAAAAAATACAAAAATTAGCTGGGTGTGGTGGCACATGCCTGTAGTCCCAGATACTGGGAAGGCTGAGGTGGGAGGATTGCTTGAACCTGGGCACTCAAGGCTGCAGTGAGCTATGATTGCAGCATTGTACTCCAGCCTAAGTGACAGAGGGAGACTGTCTCAAATAAATAAATTAATTAAAAAATAAACAAATAAATAAATAAATAAAAAATAAAGTGAGTGGAAGCATCCATAACCATTTTTTTTTCTTTTTTCTTTTTTAGGCAGGGACTCACTGCATCTGGCCCAGAATGTTAACAATCATGAATTAGGAAAGGCAGAATACAAATTGAAGGTCTCCTTTAATTTTATATAGTGAGCCATATGAAACTGCCAGTGCCCTATGATTTTGATCTATAAAAATGCAAATTTTATATGATCCAACCTAGTTATTTTTTTAGTGTTTCAAAATTAAAAAACAGAATCAACCTTTAAAAAAAATCTTATTTCTTCAGCCACCAGCACAATACAATGTACTTGATAAAAGATGCCACTGTAGACCTGAGAGCCTTTTGCGAGATAAGACAAGCAAAATTGAGAAAAGAGGTAAGCGATGTGTTTTTGGACAATAATGACTTTATCTGATATGTGTACCAAATCCCAGATTAATGGAATTGACTTTCAATTCAATTAACTTTTGATCTTTAAACATATATCTGTTTTTTAATTTGTTTTAATTACAAATTTCTATTTTTAAATGTAAAATTGAGAAGTATATGAATAAGGAACTGCTGCAGTATGATGCCTTTGCACCTGGGAAAGGTAAGTGTCAACTGATCCCGTAAGACTTCTAGAACTGAGCTTGGTGTGCCCAGAGAATTACAGGTACATAAATTCAAATTAAGTTTTCTGGGATGATTGGTTTGGGTATCTCTGCATCTACTATGAATGACATAAGTGAGGAAACTCATTGACAAAGGCAGTGCTTATTTGTGTCAGGATACATAGGGTAGAACTGGTGGAGGATGCAACTTGCAACTTCTAACTAATAACTTACCTTTTGCTGAACCTGTTGGACTTGGCTATGCTTAGAAATATGAGGGGGATACTACAAGGTGGAGTTTTTCTCCCTCTGTGTTCCTATGGTGATAGGAATGATAGGTACAAAAGAACAAAATGACTCACATGTTTAATACAAAGCCTACTGGGACAGAAGTATGTCACTTATTTATTTTATGTTAGTTCAGAAGAGAAGACTAGACAGTATTTTTTAAATTACCAAACTGGATTCTTTAAAATGCATCCCCAAATTTACCTTGATGAAGAGTTGCTCACTTGAAATCTTTAAACTGAATAGTAAAAAAGCAAGAGAGGGGAAGAGGCCTGCAGGAGACTGTAAGAGTTAGCTGGATAGTTGAAAGGCCACAGTGGGTGCTTGGGGTCCAGCAGAGTACAGCTCTCTTAATTTCAAATATAAAAATGCTACGGTTGTGGGAAATGACAGCTGTGGCCACATGTTTTCCCTCTACCCACCCACATCAAAATGCCAATGAGTTCTAAATCTTGCTCCTTTCTGGTAATGTAACAGTACTTAAAGCAAGTACTTCAGTAGCTGCAGGCCACCAGAAGGATGGAGTCCAGAGCCTGCTGTCCTGTGACTAGTGGGTAGAAGCACGTATCTCACCGTTCCATCATGATCAAAGTGCTGCACACTTAAAAAGTTCAAAATCCAGTGTCTGGACCCGGTTTTTCTAAGAGGGCATGCTTTAGGTTTTTATTGAAGATAATGTATTTCTGGAATAAAAATGGCAACTATAACATACCAAAAATAATGATATTGACAATAACAATATCACAATAACAATGAAAGTTAATTGAGTATTTACTCTTTGAGAGACACCAGGCTCAGCATTAGAAAGCTTATCTTCTATAATTCAAATAGCAACTCTATAACGTAGGTGCTATTTTTATTATTTTCAATTTACAACTGAGAAAAGTAAGGCACAGAGAGATGAAATTATGTGCCTAAGGGACTCACGACTAATAGGTGGCAAAATAATGATTTGAAACTTGACTGTTATTCTCAAAAGCCCATGAGCACCAGCTTCCTAGACCTAGAAACTAAATTGTCATTCTCTTATTATCATCGCTATTTAACATTTTCCACAAGGTTGGCCTAACCATCAACCATTGTGCTTTTGGAAAAAAAAATTCTAGTGGCATTCTTACTCCCCTTACATCCCCTTCCATCTGTTTCTTTGCAAAGATGATTGACGACTGAGCCTGGAGTCTAAAAATGCTGTCAACATCTGTAGCCCCAGGAGCTCATACAAAGTAACTAACTGGAAAGTCATTAACTGATGCAGTAACTATTTTCTGTCCCGAGGAGAACCTTGGCACCTGAGAGCAAGACTCTTGGGCCCTACGTGGAGAGACCAGTATAGTAATGTATAATGCAGCCCAACATATGTGTCAAACAAACAGGGCCATTGGGGGCACAGACTAAGGTGCCTACTTCAAATGAAATGATATTCCAGCACTATCCTCCTGTATTATAGTTAAAGCAGCAAAGGGTTAATTAAAAGCAATCTCTCTTGTTTCTTAGGAGACCCTTTCTCCTTTGCCAGTAGATGACTGTTTATACTTCCAGTTTATTTCTTCAGTCCTAAAGATATTTTATTGCCTGCTAAACTAAGTTTTCTCTAAATTGCTGGAGAAGAAAAACACCCCAAACTGCTTATTTCATCAAAACTGGCTCCTATATTACATTGTCCAAAATGAAATTCACCAATCCAGGGCACCAAAGTTGATAATGTGAGAGAGAGGTGCTTGATAAGATTTTTAAAAATTCTCTGGAGTCACAGTTGGTCATTACTTAACCTGTCAATCTCACAAGTACTCAGTAGGAGTCTCTCCATCTCCTACCAGATAATTGCATTAAGTTATATTGTTTGAATTACTGTCATATAAGCACTGAGAGGAAAGAGAATATGAACAACTGCTTCATAGAGCATTTAGAATATTGCCAGGTGTAAAGAGATGCTTAAGTGCTGATCACAATGACATATGGTAAATTAGCCCCCAGCATCATGGCAGAGTTGACTGGCTTGAAAGTCACCTGACTTCCTGACAGCCCCATTCCTTGGCAGGTATTGGAGATTTAAGTAGTGGTGCTGGATTCTAATAGTACTCCCAAGGATGCAAGTGTGCTAAGGCTTTCTCCTCAAGGTGTGACACTTAGCACACTTGTGTGACCCGGACTGATATCTTGGCTCTACCACTTTCTTGTTGTGTGATCCAGTGCACTAACTTAATTTTCCTGAATCTCACTTTCCCAATCAGTAAAATGGGAACAGGGCTACTTTTCTGTCCTGCTTCACTAGGCTATTGTGGGGCTCCAATAAGAAAAACTGTAGAAAAATGCTTTGAAGAAAAATGGTTTGAAGAATAGGCAAGTACTTAAGTACTATAAAAATACATTGTTAGCTGAGAATTTTGAGTGGTGTGTGTGTGGGGGGGGGGGGAATACAAGTAGAGGTGGGCTAGTGTGGAAGACTTAGACTTTATCATTATTATTATTATTATTATTATTATTATGGAGTCTTGCTCTGTAGCCCAGGCTGGAATGCAGTGGTGCGATCTTGACTCACCACAACCTCCACCTCCCAGGTTCAAGCGATTCTCCTGCCTCAGCCTCCTGAGTAGCTGGGATTACAGGCATACACTACCATGCCTGGCTAATTTTTGTATTTTTAGTAGAGACAGGGTTTCTCCAGGTTCTTCAGGCTGGTCTCGAACTCTTGACCTCAGGTGATCCACGCACCTTGGTCTCCCAAAGTGCTGGGATTACAGGCGTGAGCCACCGCACCCTTCGGCTTATTATTTTATTATTATTTTAACGCTTTCTCCACACTTGAGAGATTGGTCAACAATTATGGTTAAATTACTAGCACCAGATTTGAATACCTCCTAGGGAAGTCACCAATAGGTTATTATCAGTCTACCTCGTATTTCCTGAACAAAAATAATTCATTTAGCTCTGAATGTTTATCTAAGACATGAAAAACTTGGTTTAGTTTTTTGAGTATCTGCAGTGTCATCAAACTTATCCAAATATTTAATCTAAATTCCATGTGCTGTCATTTAAGGCCATTATGTCTGGTTCTTTCCTCATCAGTTAATCTCTGTAATAGTGCTCTATCTGGCTCATTCCATCCTTTTATATTTCTGTAGACAGTTATCACCCCAAATGCCTTCACTTTATTTCTGAGACAGCTATCTTTTTCTTGACTCAAAGGCCATCACTTGGAAATATTTGTCACTTTTAGTTGGTCTCTTATGAAATCTGAAACACTTTACATCTACCTGTTTAAATTCAGGATCACGGGCTCTTGCTCGTCTTTGCTCTATGAATCAAGGTAGAGGGCTCTCCTATAAACTGTTTTTTTTTCTATTTTCCTATCACTGCATGTACCTTTTCTCTTCACCCAAAATAATCCAAGGCAAGCAGGGAGGAAAAAGCACTTCCCTGGGGTGAAGTGACTCTTACCACAAAGACTTCACAGCAGATGCAAAGGCCACTGTTCTTGGTAAAGGCGTGAGTTATGTCCAGGAGAGCAGGTCTTGTCATGGGTCCCCCTGTTAAGACAATGCATTGGGGCCTGGAAGTGAAAAAAAGATGTGAGAATGGGCCACTGCAAGAAGTCTGTAACCTTAGAACCATTCCAATGGGATGACAGGTACACAGGCTTGGAAAAATGGGACAACCTCTCCCCTATTTTATGGGTTTTGCACTAGAATTCTTGAATCATCCTGCCTGTCCATCTTGACATGTTTGTGTTCTCAGTTCAGTTAGTCATAGCAAAAGTGTGAAGTAAGGAAAAAGTAGTCTTGTGGTCCCTGATATGGTTTGTCTGTGTTCCCACCCAAATCTCATCTTGAATTGTAGCTTCCATAATCCCCACATATTGTGAGAGGGACCCAGTGGGAAGTAACTGAATCATGGGGACAGATTTTCCTATGCTGTTCTCATGATAGTGAGTAAGTCTGAAGAGACCTGATGGTTTTATTAAGGGCAGTTCCCCTGCGTACACTCTCTTGCCTGCCACCATGTAAGACGTAACTTTGCTCCTCCTTCACCCTCTGCCATGATTGTGAGGCCTCCTCAGCCATGTGGAACTATGAGTCCATCGAATCTCTTTTTCTAGAAAAATTACCCAGTCTTGGGTATTTCTTCATAGCAGCATGAAAATGGACTAAAATTGGTACCTGTAGAGTGGGGTGTTGCTGTAAAGGTACCCAAAAATGTGGAAGTGACTTTGGAACCAGGTGTAACAGGCAGAGGTTGGAACAGTTTGGAGGGCTCAGAAGAAGATAGAAAAATGTGGAAAAGTTTGGAACTTCCTAGGGACTTGGAGGGCTCAGAAGAAAGGAAGATGTGTAAAAGTTTGGAACTTCATAGAGACTTATTCAATGGCTTTGACCAAAATGCTGATAGTGATATGGACAACAAAGTCCAGGCTGAGGTGGTCTCAGATGGAGATGAGGAACTCCTTGGGAACTGGAGAAAAGGTCACTCTTGTTAAGCAAAGATACTGGCAGCACGTTGCCTCTGCCCTAGAAATCTGTGAAACTTTGAACTTGAGAGAGATGATTTAGGTATCTGGCAGAAGAAATTTCTAAGCAGCAAAGTGTTCAAGAGGAAGCAGAGCAAAAAAGTTGGAAAAATTTGCAGTAGAAAAGAAAAAATCATTTTCTGGGGAGAAATTCAAACTGGCTGCAGAAATTTGCATAAGTAAAAGGGAGGCAAATGCTAATCACCAAGACAATGGGGAAAATATTTCCAGGGCATGTCAGAGAACTTCACAGCAGCCCCTCGCATAGCAGGCCTGGAGGCCCAGGAGGGAAATATGGTTTCCTGGGCATGGTCCAGGGCCCCCCTGCTGTGTGCAGCCTAGGGACTTAGTGCCCTGTGTCCTAGCTGCTCCAGCCATGGATAAAAGGGGCCAAGGTATAGCTTGGGTGGTGGCTTTAGAGGGTGCAAGTCCCAAGCCTTGGCAGCTTTCACGTGGTGTTGGTCCTGTGGGTGCGTAGAAGACAGAATTGAGGTTTGAGAACCTCCATCTAGATGTCAGAGGATGTATGGAGATGCCTGGATATCCAGGCAGAGGTGTGCTGCAGGGGCAGAGCACTCATGGAGAACCTCTGCTAGGGTAGTGCAGAAGGGAAATGTGGGGTTGGAGCCTCCTAGACAGACTCCCCACTGGGGCGCTGCCTAGTAGAGCTGTGAGAAGAGGCCATAGTCGTCTAGACCCCAGAATGGTAGATCCACCGACAGTTTGCACCGTGCACCTGGAAAAGCCGCAGACACTCAACACCAGCCAGTGAAAGCAACCAGAAGGGAGGCTGTACCCTGCAAAGCCACAGGGGCAGAGCTGCCCAACACCATGGGAACCCACCTTGCATCAATATGACCTGGATATGAGACAAGGAGTCAAAGGAGATCATTTGGAGCTTTAAGATTTTACTACCGCACCGGATTTCGGACTTGCGTGGGGCCTGTAGCCCCTCTGTTTTGGCCAATTTATCCCATTTGGAACAGGTGTATTTACCAAATGCCTGTATTCCCATTTTAGCTAGGAAGTAACTAATTTGCTTTTGATGTTATAGGCTCATAGGCAGAAGGGACATGCTTTGTCTCAGATGAGACTTTGGACTGTGGACTTGTGAGTTAATGATGAAATGAGTTAAGATTTTGGGGGACTGTTGGGAAGGCATGATTAATTTTGAAATGTGAGGACATGAAATTTGGGAGGGGCCCGGGATGGAATGACATGGGTTGGGCTGTGTCCCCACCTAAATCTCATCTTGAATTATAGTTCCCATAATCCCCATGTGTTATGGGAGGGACCCAGTGGGAGGTAATTGAATCATGGGGGTGGGTTTTCCTGTGCTGTTCTCCTGACAGTGAATAGGTCTCCCAAGAACTGATGATTTTATAAAGGGCAGTTCCCCTGCACACACCCCCTTGCCTGCTGCCATGTAAGACATGCCTTTGCTCCCCCTTTGCCTTCTGCCAAGATTGTGAGGCCTCCCCAGCCAGGTGGAACTGTGAGTCCATTAAACCTCTTTTTTTAAAATTATAAATTACCCAGTCTTGGGTATCTCTTCATAGCAGTATGAAAATGGACTAATACAGTCCCCCTCTCCTTTTTCCTCTAGCCACCTACCCCAAATCCCAAGGCAATCTGTTCCTCTCCAAGCAAGATTTTTATGTTACTTTCTTTCATTCTTCATACAAGCTTGTGTTTCAGATTTCATTCAAAATAAGATACAACTAATGAAAAGCAAAAAGCGTTACTCTTAAGAGAATTCAGTAAGCCCTAAAGCCTTAAGTGGAATGGAAACAATTGCAGAATAATGTGTGTGGGGATTTAGGATCATCTCTCTGAAGTCACATTACTTAGTCCACTTTGCTATCTCCATGCATGGAAGGTGACACCTGGCATTATGAGGGGCTGTAGTTTGGGGTGGGCAGAGTAGGGTGTGGAAGGAAAGAAGCACTCACTCACAGGAGGTGCTGTCATGAAAATGTAGCAGTTTTGTATGGCTGCTTATTTTTAGAATGTACCCCTAAAGCTTATAACTACTTGAATGCCCTTGTCTCTCATAAAGGAGAGCCACTTCTAAGGTGGAACAACACCAGGATGCCTGAGACACCAGCTTTACCTGAAGTTTTTTACATGGTCTTCCACTGTGGTTAATTCCAGAGCGTTGTCTAAAGCACTCACATAGGAAAGAGCCTGTGTGGAGGAGCCCCAGTTCACATCTGTGGATAAAGGAGGAAATTGGCATAAGAAGCACTGACCTTACACATTTCGTGTACCATGAATAATTCTTACAAGTCATTCCCTTCTGTGATTTTCCCCGGCTATGCCAGCAACGATGAGTGCCCACATTAGAGAAAATATAGTGCGGGATTTCCTAAAAAGCACTTTGTATCCTTCTATGAATACTATGTGAATCTTCAGAAGCAAAGGCTTCATTCCAGCAAAGGATCAGACTGTACAACTGCAGTCCTAGAAATCTTGCTTGGTGAGAAAGGCTGTGCCATAACCATGTTGCAGGCAGATAGACTTGGGAAACTGGTGAATCCCTGAATAAAAATCAAAGCGTCTTCACACTTTTTTTTTTTTTTTTTGAGATGGAGTTTCGCTCTGTCACCAGGCTGGAGTGCAGTGGTGCGATTTTGGCTCACGGTAACCTCCACCCCCCAGGTTTGAGAGATTTTCCTGCCTCAGCCTCCTGAGTAGCTGGGACCACAGGCACCTGCCACCATGCCTGGATAATTTTTGTATTTTTAGTAGAGACGGGGTTTCACCATATTAGTCAGACTAGTCTCAAACTCCTGACTTTGTGATCCACCCATCTCCGCCTCTCAAAGTGTTGGGATTATAGGCGTGAGCCACCGCGCCTGGCCCAAATTCTTAAATTGAAAAGAGAAGCAGCATTTCTGTATACACAGAAAGTGTGCAGTAATCTTTATATTTTGAACAGTAAAACTGAATAGCACGGGAATTCTTACTTCTAGAATTCTATGAAGAAGGTCAAGGTTCTTTAGCAAACATTTTAGTTTGATCTGTGAGAAGCTAATCCTTAATCTTCATCATAAGGAAGATCAGCTCTACCATCCCTCTCCCCCAACCCCCCTCCTTTTTTTTTTGAGACAGAGTCTTGCTCTCGCCCAGGCTGGAGTGCAGTGGCACCATCTTGGCTCCCTCCAAGCTCTGCCTCCTGGGTTCACGCCATTCTCCTGCCTCAGCCTCCCAAGTAGCTGGGACTACAGGCACCCGCCACCACGCCCGGCTAATGTTTTTTTGTGTGTTTTTAGTAGAGATGGGGTTTCACCATGTTAGCCAGGATGGTCTCGATCTCCTGACCTTGTGATCCACCTGCCTTGGCCTCCCAAAGTGTGCATGAGCCACCGTGCCTGGCTTTTTTTTTTTTTTTTCTTTTTTACAAATTTAAGTATTAAATGGATCTTCCAAGGTTTATGAGAGGAAGTCCCTGGCAAGAATGTACAGATACACCCCAGATGACAGACAAAACCTATTCTCCTGGAGTTCCAGGGAAATGGGTGAAAGATAATTATCTGGAGATAAAGAAGATCAATATTGATTAAGTGTTGATGGTGCATCAGGCATTAAGCATACCTTAGGCCGTTTATTTTAAATAGGGATAAAAACTCTACTAGTCAATTGGACGTTTATATGTAAAAAGTGAACCTTGAACAATACCTCACATCGTCTACAAAAATTAACTCAAAGTGGATAATAGACCTAAATATAATTTCCAAAGCATTTAAACTTCTAGAAGTTTGTGACTTTTGATTAGGAAAAGATATCTTAGATCAGATGCAACATGGTAAGCCATTAAAAAAAAAAAGATAAATTAGACTTCACAAAAACTCAGAAGTTTTATTCTTCAAAACAAATTGTAAGGAAAATAGAGAAACCACAGATCCAGAGAAAATATTTGCAAAACACATGCTGCTAAAGGATTTGTGTCCAGAATAGATAAAGAACTCTCATTACTGAATAATAAGAAAACAACTAAAACATGAGCAAAAGATTTAAACAGACACTTGACTAAAAAAGATATATGGATGGCAAATAAGATGTTCAACATCGTTAATCATTGGGAAAATGCAAATTAAACCACAATGAGGTGGCACTACACATCTATTAGAATGGCTTTTAAAAAATCAACTGGCAATAATACATGCTGACAAAAATGTGGAGCATCTAGGACTCTCATTCATGGCTCGTAGGAATGGAAAATAATACTGCTACCACAGAAAACAGTTTGGCAGTTTATTATAAAGTTATATATACACTTACTATTTAATCATAAATCCCACTACCAGATATTTACCCAAGGGAAAAATGAAAACATAAGTCCACATAAAGTCCTGTGGACCTAAACTGAAAACAACTCAGATGACCATCAACTGGTGAATAGAATTTAAGAATATATGTGATGTATTCATACAATAGAATCCTACTCAGCGACACCAAAGAATAAACCACTTACATATGCAACAGCATGGATAAATCTAAAAGCATTCTGCTAAGTGAAAGGAAGTCTTCTCAAAGGCTATATCTTGTATGTTTCTATTTATATGGTATTTTGGAAAAGGCAAAGCTACAGGATCAGACATCAGAAAAGCAGCTGCCTGAGGCTAAGTTGGAGGGTGGAGATTGACTACACAGGGGTATAAGGGAACTTGTGAGGATGATGGAAATATCCTGTATCTTGATGATGGTTACAACACTGTACAAGTTTGTCAAAACATACAGACAGCCCATTTAAAAGGGATGAATTTTTCCATATGTAAGTTATACATGATGTTAACGATATGTAAAGAAATAAATAAAAGCTAAACAGACCCCTCCAAGGTAGTTACTACAATCTCTGCTTTACTGGCAGAGTAAGGGAACGGAGAATGTGAGGGTGGCTCTGGGTTTCCCTGCACCGCACTGTCTGCAGCCCCTCCTAGATTTAATATCCCTAGTACTAAAGTCAACACCCAAAGTTCAGATCCAACTGCTTCTTCAATTGATTAGCCTGTGCCGTCTTCCTTTTGCTCACAACATCAGATTCTTTGGCATGACCTTTAAGTTTCTTATTTATCTGGCCCCCACCACTCTTCCAGGCTCCCTCTGTGATCCTTCTCCCCATCACTCAGGAGCCTTCTGTGTGTTGAAGGCCTTGAGCCTTCCCAAATACGCCGCCCCGCACTTGTATGTGTCCTTACTGTCATTCATGCTTCACCTTCTGCCCAGAATACCATTCCCCGACTCTGATTAACCAAACCCCAGTTGCTTGCTTTTTTTTTTTTTTTAAAAACTTTATTTATTTATTCATTTAAAAAATATTCGTTAAATGTCCACTGAGTGTTTGACTCTGTGAACATAAGTTAGGAACCAGAAAGTTTTCCTGGATAACTCCAAAGTTAATCCTTCCCTCCCCTTTTCTCAGCAATTTGCTCATATTACTCTCATAGTGGTTACTATTTTGTATCATAATTAATTCCTTAAGTGTGACTCTGTGAACTCCTTGAGCACAGGGACTATGTCTAATTTATCAGGACATCAGAAACAAAGTGAAGTAATGGAAAGCTTGTCGGGTTGGTTTGGTATCATACACGTGCTGGTTATATGGTCAGATCCATCACATCCTGATTATTACTTTGGTAAGTAGTCAACTCTTTGAACCCCAGTTTCTTCATCTGTAAAATGGCACTAATAGTATTGTGAGGATTGAATGAGTGCATGGTATATAACAGGTGCTCAACGAGGTTAACTATTGCTATTATTATTATTATTTGAGATGGAGTTTCGCTCTTGTTGCCCAGGCTGGAGTGCAGTGGCATGATCTCAACTCACTGCAACCTCCGCCTTCCGGTTTCAAGCGATTCTCCTGCCTCAGCCTCTTGAGTAGCTGGGATTACAGGGGCCCGCCACCACGCCCGGCTAATTTTTGTATTTTTAGTAGAGATGGGGTTTCACCATGTTGACCAGGATGGTCTTGAACTCCTGACCTCGTGATCCACCCTCCTCAGCCTCCTAAAGTGCTGGGAGTACAGGCGTGAGCCACTGCGCCCAGCCCCAACTATTGTTACTATTATATTCCATGATATTATTAATATCCTCCTTACATATGCCTCACCTAAGCACATAAAAATGCTTAATAAATGAGCAGTTAGAGAGTGATTTGGAAACCCTATTCCATACAGTCCTTATTATCTTACCTGGCTTCTTATAAGTCACATAGACATAGAGGAAGAATTCAATGACATAGGTGATGACAGCTGCCCACCAATTGATGACAAACATGACTGCACAGCACAAAACAGCTCCAAAAAGAGATACCCACATGTTGTAAATTCCATACGCAGGTCTCCATCCTGAAAATAAAATATGCAGAAGGAAAACTTCCACTCTACTATGATCATGCCACCGACTATTATAAGAATGCAGGTAACGTGCCTTTTTCCTGACATAAAGAATCAGAACTTTTAGGTCAGTTTCCAGGCTCTGTGCTTATTTTCCTATGATCTTGGGTCCCTGGTCTATGAAGATGGTACTTACACCAAACAGAATGCTGTAAAGTTTAGGAAATGTTAAGCATCTGAAAAATGTGCCATTCAGGACCCTCCATACTCCATGCTCCTGACCGTCTTCCCAAACTTCCAAACCTTAAGCATCTGGTATTTATGCCATCAGGAACTGAAAAGAGGTAGGAGGAATGGAAAGAGTGGGATCTACCAGGTGGGGAGGAGAAACTTCTTGGTTGTCCGAGAAAGAAAAAGTGAAGAAAATGGTTTTTTTGTTCCCATGGAGAAGGTGGAGTAATCATCAAGAGTCAATCTGCTTGACTTCCTGGTAGCTCTTCCATTACCCTAAGAGGACAGTGTTTGCCTTTTCAGAAATAATAATTGATGAATAAAGCAGGAGAAATGGCTTTTTAAACTCAATGGCTAGCAAAGGCTTCTGAAACCCAGTGTGTTAATATGTCATGCATTTTGCAATGAAAATATTTCTCACAGTGTGCACATGCATGGGGATTTTCTGTGTTCTCTTAGTTTCCTGAAATGGAAGCAACTGGAAGACAGTATGCACAGGAAGGAAAAGCTCTGATTTGAAGGGCACCTTTTGTTAATGAATGGGGTACGTTTTAATATAGGAGTTGCCAAAACACAACAGAACTTTACGTGTTTGGGAGCAATTTCCTAAATGGCCACAAGATGGACATAGCACTGCAAGAACATCATTGAAAATAGCCTTTTTTTCTCTGAGTCTAGCTTCCCGTCCCGGGGTGTGTGTGTGTGTGTGTGTGTGTGTGTGTGTGTGTGCAGACAGACATTTTCTGGGTTTGCGTATCCATGTGTCTCCCTCTATATGCTTTTCTATATTTTCCTCTCTCTCTCCCCCTCTTTCCCATTCTCCTTTTCACTCTTTTCCCTGGCTGTCTACTATTTCACCTTATTTGTCAAAAGTGGCCATAACATGGCATGGAGTCACACATTTCTGTGTTAACAAAACACACAAAGAAACAGAAAGTCCTCTGCTACTTTCTGTAGCCTAGTATTCATTAGATTAAGATTGGTCTTCCATCTATATTTTGTCTTATTGGCAGCAAGTTTTCCAAAGGAGGCTTAATATCTTGTCAGGCCCTGAATGAGTGGAAATGTGTTTATATATCCAGTAAAAGTTCTCAAGGTGGAGATCTTTCTGAAGGTAGGTAATGACAAGTCTCTATTCTTGTAGGAAGGTAGAAGAAACTGTAGTGGACAATGAAAGCAAAGAAGAGGTGAGGAGTAATAGAAAGGGGAAGGCTCTTTGGTGTGAAATTTTGAACAACTTTAAACCACAGCTCAAAGGGTGCACTGATGCCACCAGCATCAATGCAGCTTGTCTACATTGCCTCCACTCAGCAGGTAATTATGGGAACTACTCATCCTTCTCTTCTGCACCATGGGCAGGAAACAAATTGATAGTAAGGAAATTTCAAATATATACATTAATTCCACTTCTGTGGTCACTTTCACCCTGGAAATAAATAGTGGTGTTTTTCTACTGCTGAAATAAATGTGGTTTCTCTTGCAATGAATAATTTATTGCCAAGAGAGAAAATTGACTTTACGGTTGGTCAAAAAGGCCATTGCTCAAATGATTCTTTTTCTATTTCAAAACTCATCCCCAAACTCACCAAAATAAAGTAGATTACGCTTCCCACTAGCATATAAGGAAACATATAAACACAGATTGAACACTTTTCACTGACTTATTTCATTTTATTGAGACAAACTAACTGTTTGCTTAGGCATATTTTAGTTTTGGAAGTCAGCTTACCTGGAGATTTGGCATAAGAGGCATGGAAGCAGGAGAAATTAATAAGTGCATATGAGGCCAGGAAAAAGTTGGAGATGATGGGAGCAATGGTGTTCAGTTCCGCTGTAAAAGTAACAGAATTGAACATGTACGTATGAGTGATGAGACCAGGGGCTGAACAGCTGTTACAGCCTGGAAGCTTGACTTTATTTGGAAATTGAAAACATAGCGAGCATCTGTCAAAGTTTAAGAAGTTAGTCATTTTTCTTTGGGGGATACATATTTACTCTTAGCTAGGGTTTCTATAAAGTAAGAAATAAAAAGTCTACCAATCAGAAAATAGACAATTGAGACCCCTACCTACAAAATGTTCAAGTGGCAATGGGTAGGTGTGGGACTGGGCATACAATTAACTCCCCTGCAGCTTTTCTGGAGGCATCTAATCCTGTGTTCTTTAACTGTTATGTATGCAATAAATAGGCTCTGCAGGATATTAGTTAAATACCAGTGCACTGAAAACTCCCTAGTGGAAATCTCCCTGCATAGACCCAATATGTGTTCTCTGATTTTCAGGACTCTTTGTCATTCATACCTTTTCCACATCTCTAGAGAGTTCTGCCTCTCAAGGCTAGCCAAATATATTATTATTATTATTATTATTATTATTATTATTATTTTGAGATAGAGTCTAGCTCTTGTCGCCTAGCCTGGAGTGCAATGGCACAATCTCGGCTCATGGCAACCTCTGCCTCCCGGGTTCAAGCGACTCTCCTGCCTCAGCCTCCCTAGTAGCTGGGACTATAGGTGCCTGCCACCATGCCCAGGTAATCTTTGTATTTTTAGTAGAGACAAGGTTTCACCATGTAGGCTGGGCTGGTCTTGAACTCCTGACCTCGAGTGACCCGCCCACCTCAGCCGCCCAAAGTGCCGGGATGAACAGGCGTGAGCCACTGTGCGTGGTCCAAAAATACTTTTGCCTCAGGAGTAAATATCTGGTATGATTTAATTCCAGTTGGATTTTTTACTGGGCAATACAAGAAAAAATATAGAGAGGTCATCCTTTATCTGAAGGTCAGACACCTATCACCCTCAATGATGCAAATGATGCAATGGTGCAAGTGATGCAATGATGCAAATGCAGGCAGCTGGGTGTGATTCTGGAACATGGATACCGACAAGAAAGTAGGCAAAACAGCTGCCATGATGCTTATGCGTGGAGCCAATCCACTTGTTCTGAAAGAATGATTTTAAATGATATTATCTAATGTATACAAGACTTTTAAAACTTTGGTTGCTCACTCACTTAAATGCAGCATGAGGCAATGATTTGAGATCTTAAAGGCTAAATTACATAATTGAAACATCTCTATATGAAATCACTTTTAAGTTAATTTTTAAAAATCTAACAAACACAGAGAGTTACAAATTCCCTTCTTCAGCCTCATACAAATGCTATGAGGATTCATGAATTATAGTCCCTTCCTGAGTTCAACATGTAATGATGAGGAGCCCTCATTGCTTGGCACTGCCGTGCTGAAGAAGTCTCTGCCCGCCTGTGTGTGGCTCCCAAAGTCCTCTGCCTTCTGCTTCTTTTCCTCTGATATGCTCATCAGCAGAGGTGAGGCCTTAGGGAGGAGTGAGACATGCGCAAGTTTAAGTTGATGAATGTGCCTCTCCAAGATTATGTAGCTGTTTCTATATCACCTGGGGAGAGGAAGCCAAGATTACAGTCTAGGTAAGTGGTTCTCAAATACCAGTGGTCTACTTGAAATGTAGACTTGTGAAATGTAGACTCCTTACCCTCAGAGAGTCTGACTCAGTTACTCTGGAATTGGGCCTGAAGTCTCCGCACTCGCCCAAACACCCCAGGTGATTGCGATATAGATGCTCAGTGGACCACATTCCCAGAAACACTAACAGGCAATTCAATTCTGCTAGCCATCAGGTCAGTAGTTATGGCAGCTGGGGGAGACTCTGGATTTAGACAGTTTCAGGCAGGTGGGAAGAAGGATTCAGCTGCCTTTGGTTGGATGGATTTCGAACACTCAGATTCAAAGAATAGATTAAAATTCAAAGTCTACCTCGAGTTCCTCAAAGGCCCTCTACACACAAGGATTTCTCATTTCCTTCTTAGATGCCAATATTCCCAAATGGGATCCTAAACATGAAACGGGTAATTTTTCAAACTAAAAGGAAAGCCCTATGAATAATCAGAAGAATTCTTTGGTTTTCAATCAAAACAAGAAAACTTTACAAACCAATAAGAATAAATGCCATGGCTATAAGAAAAGTGAGAATATATCCTCTCAGGGGTTCATTGTTTTTCCCGTATCCCTTTGCAAAAAACTGCAGAGCTTTGTAGATGTTGTCCTTGCACAGAGCCTAATGGAAAAGAAGAGAAGACATTTGTCATTTATAGCTATGCACAGTCATTTTCTCTAGGTGATTCAAACGGGAAGATTTGGGGAAAGATTAAGTGATACACAAGATGAGGCACAAGTTAACACTGCACTTTATCATTCTTTATATTATTTGAATCGATCTTGACTATATGGCAGACATAGCACTTGAGCCAGATGCAAACATTAACTGTTTCAGAAAATGATGGAAAATGATTGCCAGTGAGAATGAATATTTCAGCTTGCTTCACATTCTGTGGAAACAGCAATAGGGAGAAGCACAAGCTGTTGTGCTTGTATTACCTGGAACACTTTGGGTGCGCTGACAAGGGAAGCCAGGGCGGAGGAGAGCGTTGCAGAAAAGATTCCCGCAGTGATGAGGGGGCCAAACCCTGATACCATGCTCATGACCTTGAGAAGAGAGGTACAAGTGAGGAGACTTCCTGTGATTTGGAATCTATTTCATAAGCAAATTGCTTTCAGCTAGATTTCTTCCCCCTGCTTCTTTCTCACTTTCACATTCTTGTTTGTTTGTTTGTTTGTTTGTAACGGAGTCTCGCTCTATCGCCCAGGCTGGAGTGCATTTGCACGATCTTGGCTCATTGCAACCTCTGCCTCCTGGGTTCAAGTGATTCTTGTACCTCAGCCTTCTGAGTAGCTGGGATTACAGGCACCTGCCACCACGTCCCGCTAAATTTTGTATTTCTAGTAGACACGGGATTTCACCATTTTCACCAGGCTGGTATTGAACTCCTGACCTCAAGTGATCTGCCCGCCTCAGCCTCCCAAAGGGCTGGGATTGTAGGCAAGAGCCACTGTACCTGGCCCATTCTCACGTTCTTAATTTTATTTTTTAAAAATAGAAATGGCCTTTTTGGTTATTTATAAGATAATAAATGCTCACCGCAATATATCCAGAAGATACTGGAAAAAATAAAGAAGGAAATGGTTTCAAGGATTTTGACATTTTCCCCTCTGTTCTTTGTGGCCATATGTTTCTTTGATGATGGGGAATTCTATCCAGCAGAAAGCAGTATTTTAATACAATTTGGGGAGGGGCTCAGCTGTTTACTAGTCTTTTTACAGCCGTTAACCTTTCTTCTTCCTGCACACAGAGGCTTTTCAGACCTTTGCTATTTCTGTGCTCATTAAACATAATTTTAGATCTGAGACATGATGTGATTCTATCAATTTAAGTCATATTTTGGAATAATGACTTCAGTTGAGTTAATTTCTCTTTGTGGGTTGTTAAAACAGAAGGGTGAAGCTTTCACGACAAATTTACTTCTCCCTCTGCTCACCAATCATGCAGACAAATTAATAGGTTTAAAGTCCTACAGCTTTCCTAACTTCCATTGTTACTTCCCCCTTATTTACCTTCCCTCTGGCACTCACAATTTCTCTCTTAGCCTTGTCTTCCAGGCTCTCCAGGGCCACCTCAAAGGCTTTGTCTAAGCTGAAGGCCGTATATGAAATGCATTCCAAGATTTCTCAATGAACTTAAAACAGAACTATCATTTGACCCAGTAATCTCTTTACTGGGTATATATCCAAAAGAAAATAAATCATTCAACCAAAAAGATACAGGCACTTGTATGTCTAGTACAGCACAATTCATAATAGCAAAGACATGGAATCAACCTAGATGCCCATCAGTGGTGGACTGGATAAAGAAAATGTGGTACACATACACCATGCAATACTACACAGCCATGAAAAGAATAAAATCATGTCCTTCACGGTAACATGGATGCAGCTAGAGACCATTATCCTAAGCAAATTAACACAGGAACAGAAAACCAAATACAACATATTCTCATTTATAAGTAGGAGCTAAACATTGAGTACTCATGAACATAAAGTGGCAACAAGGGACACTGGGGACTACTAGAGGGGGGACAGAGGATGGCAAGGGTTGAAAACTAGCTATTGAGTACTATGCTTAGTACCTGGGTGAACTACTCACAATGAACAGAGGCTACTTGTTGTAATACCCCCAAATCTCAGCATCACACAATACACTCATGTAACAAACCTGCACATATAGGATACTCCCCGAATCTAAAATAAAAACTAAAATTATAAAAGAAAGAAATACATAACAAGTGCTAACTAACCTAAGTTCCTTTCCACCATGAAATCTTGCACAACTGACTGGAAGACACATAGTGCCAGGAGATGATCTCTCCCTGATGATGCAATTCATACGACTGCCTATTGTCTCTGACCACAGGAAATGTAACATAGGATTCGCTACCATGTAATGCCTGTATGACTCCTTTCCCTCCCACATGAATCATTCCATGCTGGATTCTTATCAGCCAGTAATCAATCAGTTGCAGATTCAGAAATCTTACTCTATGTGACATTCAAAAAATGAAAATAATGGCAATGAACATTTTTAAATTTTGCTTCAAACCTGGAAATTATTCATCAGTCCATACTGACATGGTTCATGTCGACATCTTGAGAAGTCATAGCCCAACCCACATGCTGCTGAACCATTGCAGTTCATCCCAGAAATGATGGTGTCATTCATGTTCCCGGTGGCATCTCGGACCACACAGGCCCCTGTGGAAACAACCGTGGCTTGTTATTTCTTTATAAGGTTCTGGTCCCCTAGGGTTTTCTTCTGAAAACATAGTTTACTTTGAGTCTGCAAAGGTCCATTTCTTAGCCTCTGTTCACTGTGGGTAGTTCTTGATAACTGGAGGCTCCCATCTGCTGAGCCCTGGGGTTTCCCCTTTTCTGTAACAGGCTGCCATTTCAACTGCCTGTGTGACTTAGATTTGAGTGGTAAGAGACTTGGGAGTTGACACTCAGTCTTAATTTCTTATCTCTTAAAACTTGCATGGTAGCCCTTGGTACATAACACATACTCAATACATATGTCTGGCTTAGTACTAACGACTGGATGTTTTTCAAGTAGAAGGATTTATTTCCTCATCTGCAAGAGAGCCAAGAGGTGGCATTATGGAATTCTATTATAGCGATTAAGAGAACGCAGCCCCTCTTTTCAACTAATGATATTCCTTGCATAATTTATAAAACAGAGTTATAGTTCCACTAATGGTTTAAACAGTAAAGGAAATGTTTTAGGATAAAATATTCAGATTTCCTAGGCAATGGTCAAATAATATTGACCTAGTATCTATCTTAGTTGATCTATTCCATTATTTTCATGCATTTGAGTGTATCTGTCATTTTCTACTATAGCATTCTATGATGAACATCTTCGTGCATAAACTTTTTCTTCTAGGATAGATTCTTAAAAATAGAATTATGGTCATTTAAAAGACTGCTGATATATATTTTAATCACTGGCATTCCCTTATGATTTTTTCTAACTAATCTTTGCCGTGTTTTTGATAGGATTTTTGAAATATATAAATATATGTGTGAAGTATATATAAACTTTTCTGAACTACATGAAGGATAAATACTTTACAAACTAAATGCCAACCAATAAAACTGCTTTGGTTTTCAAACTCTACCCAGGGTGGATTCTCATGCCTTGCTAATAATACCTTTAAGACAGGTCCCAGAGACAGGAATAAATGTGATTCTTAGCCATGGAATCCACATTCTTTGAATTTGGGAGACTTAAAAATCATAGACTCTTTTTTGTTTGTTTGTTTTTGTTTTTGAGAGAGTCTCGCTGTGTTGCCCAAGCTGGAGTGCAGTGGCACGATCTTGGCTCACTGCAACCTCCGCCTCCTGGGTTCAAGCAATTCTCTGCCTCAGCCTCCCAAGTATCTGGGATTACAGGCGCCTGCCACCATGCGCGGCTAATTTTTGTATTTTAAGTAGAGACGGGGTTTCACCCCCTTGGCCAGGCTGGTCTTGAACTGACATCATGATCCACCCTCCTCGGCCTCCCAAAGTGCTGGGATTACAGGTGTGAGCCACTGCACCCGGCCAATCATAGACTCTTTTATCTGAAAGAGCCATTTAAAATAATCAGTGAGGGATCCTTTTTATCGTAGTCCTGAGAGGTAGCCTGCCAGCTTCTACTTGAACGCTTAAAATTATGGATGTCAATTACCAAGTCAAACTATCCTTTCATATTTTACCTGTTTGCATTGTTCATTTATGTTGAACTGAACTCTTTGAATCATGTATTTTAACCTCTGCATAACAGATCTCTCAAAATTCCCATGAAGCCAGGCCATGAGTCGTTATTTGTACTAATGACAGGACATTGACTCCATGACTGTCCTTCTCCTATGCTGGGCAAGTGTAGAAATGTATATTTTTCCATCCATTCGGGGCAAAACTTGAAGGTCTGAAATCAGGTCTATAACTTTACTCATTCTCTCACTTTAACTGTAATAAAAAAGAAAACCACTAGGGAAATTTAACTTTAGTGGTTTCAATGTCATTTAAAAATGTGTTGATTTCCTAAGGCACTGAAACAAAAAATCTCTTTACATGTAACTACACTTGGACATGCCCTAACAATACATTTATCTGCCTATTTATTGATTTTTGACACATGGTCTCACTCTGTTGCCCAGGCTGGAGTGCAGTGGTGTGATCACAGCTCATTGCACCCTTGACCTTCCAGGCTTAAGCAGTCCTCCCACCTCACCCTTCCCAGTAGCTGGGATCATAGGTATGTGCCTCCACGCCCGGCTAATTTTTTATTTTTTGTAGGAATGGGGTCTCTCTATGTTGCACAGGCTAGTCTTGAACTCCTGGGCTTAAGCAATCCTCTGGCCTCAGTCTTCCAAATTGGGATTACAGGCATGAGCTACTGTGCCCAGCCCCGACAATACTTTGAACAAAGTTATCAGATTTCCTCAAACTAGAGACAATGAGACAGGGAAGGATTTAAGTTCATTTTTTTTTATCTCCAGAAACCAACTGTAGGTACATGCACCTTCTCAATTTCTCTTATAGTAAGCGGAAGAGGACTGTGACGTACCCTTTGGCTTCATGGTGGTCCAGCCTAGAGCTTTTTCCCCTGTTGTACACAGAAGACGGTTTTCTTCTCTAAATGTTGAGAAACCTCTTCCTTTCCTACTATGCCTATGAGGCAGCCCCTAACCAGGAGGAGGTGTGACTGTAGGCAGCAGGTGGAACGAAAGTCAGCCTCAGGAACAGCAGGTGAGTACACATATTTTCTGTTCACTGAGCAATGTAGGGGCTGGCCGCCCACACTGCCAGCAGCTGGGTCTTGTTCTGATATGCTGCCAATTGGTGACGGTGACATTTCCATATTAAGGATAGCAGTGCAAGGATGAGACACAGTCACAAATTCCACATCTTTCATACTTTCCTAAGGCTGTTTTTAGGTTTGAATGGTTTTGTTTTTCACTTCTTTTCTCTATTCTGTTTCTCTCCTGCCTCCTAGAACAAGGGAAGTGTGTGCTGGAAGTGGTGGCCTCCTTAGCAGTGGGATTATCATCAAGGGTAGTAAAATGGGACCCTCTTTGTGTTCAGGTAGAATGACAACCTGATTAGCTTTATTCTAGCCCTGACCCAGAGATGCCTGTGTTACAGCTTAATTGCATTCAAATCCCTAAAGTATCCAAATCATTAACATTAAGGTACCAAGAAGGGAATTAAAATGGTTGCCTTTTAAAAAGCTTTGTATTTATGCTTCATTGAAAGCCCACTAGATGTGAACAACTGGATTCCTCGTAATTCTGACATTCGAACACTAGAGACGTACTACTTACCTACACAAATTGCAACCCCTAAGTAGGCAACAGTGGTGATGAAAATGGCCAGCATGGTTCCTCTGGGGATGGCATCTTGGGGATCCTTTAAAAAAATAATGTGGAGGTAGAAAAATACAGAGCAGAATAAGAACCATAGATCACTTAGAGTTATTTTCGCATTTTCAGATTTTTAGGCTGCCCATCCTGAGGCAAGTTCTAAGAAAAGATCAAGCAAATGGCAAGTTGATAAGCTCGAGCTTTATTTTAGACAAAGACAAGGTGTGCAAAGTGAATAAAGAAATCTGTAAAACTTTCAGCTGAACAGAAGAGATCTCTAACTGTCCAGAAGGAAGTTTCTATAGAAAAGTATAGTAGGTAGTTCACTCACCAAGGCCTCATCCTTCTCTTTATCTCCTATGAATTTCATTTAGATGTATTACATCTTGAATTTGTAGGGGAAAACATACAAACATATCTGGCATGTTGATAATATCTCTGTATGTATTTGTTTTATACTGAGCTTAAGCTTGCCTTTAAAAAAATCACTTTTGACTGAGTGAAAAGGATGATCTACTTACTAAATTCTTCAATCCCTTAAATTCCCTATTTGAAATCGAGTTCAGAAATATCTGCAATGGGAGATATTTAATTTCCATAAGCAGACATAAAGAAAGAGGCAAATTCAAGCTTATACCAGAAAATGCGCTTTTCTCTTGCTTATAAGTGTATATACATTCACTAAGTTGATTTCACATCATACTTAATTTACCATTTTATATCCTATTTGGGGGGCATAAATCATATAAAATCAATTTTTAAGTAGCATATTGAATTGTATTCAACTCAACTTAATAGAGATTATTAAATAGAAATTTTAATGTCTTCACTTTTACAGGACAGGGCCTGGCACAGAGTAGGAGTCAATAAATATTGAATTGAAGAAGGCACAATATCAGCAGGTATGAGTCCCCCAACCAGAGCACATTAGACTCATCAATACAAATAAGCAATCACTGCAGTCAAGCAAAGTTTGTGCTTTAAAAAGAAAACTAAAATGTGCTGAACGAGTCCGTCAAAAAGGTCATACATAGTGAATGTAGACTCGACAACTGAAAGTCACAACTGAATCAAGCAAACCTGCCCCACATGGCAGTAAGCTGGCCCTGTGGAACCACTCTGTGATCATTAATTCCTCCGCACTCTTCTAGGAGTATCTGCACACAGGGTTTGTTCTGATACGTACATACCCAGTCTCTTCCTTCCAAACTATTGTCTTTAGTGTGGCAGGTGTATGAAATGGGGCAGTGCACAGAAGGAAAAAGAAGGCAGTCATGACTATGATGGGGCCTACTGAATACCCTAATTTATGTTATCTTCCCAGATTTATTTTATTGATGAAGAATTTCTTGAGATCTGAGTAAAATGTAAAGAACTGACAGTGGGAAAAACAGAAAAAAATATATATATAACATTTATGCATATTTTTTAATATATATATATATATGGATAACAGATGTGAAGATGGAAGGCAGTCTTGTACCTAAAACACAAAAACTTAGTTTTTGGCCAGGCACGGTGGCTCACGTCTGTAATCCCAGCACTTTGGGAGGCCAAGGCGGGCGGATCACCTGAGGTCAGGAGTTTGAGAGCAGCCTGGCCAACATGGCGAAACCCCATCTCTACTAAAAATATAAAAATTAGCTGTGCATGGTGATGTGTGCCTGTAATCCCAGGTGCTCAGGAGACTGAGGCACGAGAATCACTTGAACCTGGGAGGCGAAGGTTGCAGTGAACTGAGATTGCGCCACTGCACTCCAGCCTGGGCGACAGAGTGAGACGCTGTCTCCAAACAAACAAACAAACAAACACCCCACAAACTTAGTTTTTATTTGCAACTATCTGCTACAAGCTCTAAAATGACTTAACAGGAGTCACATGAGAGTCGATCATGACTCTAAGACATTATTATTTATTTATTTATTTTGACATGGATTCTTGCTCTGTTGCCCAGGCTGGATTGCAGTGGCTCAATCGTGGTTCACTGCAGCCTCAACCTTCCCGTGCTCAAATGATCCTCCCACCTCAGCCTCCCAAGTAGCTGGGATGATAGGTGTGTGCGACCCTGCCCAGCTATTTTTGTGTGTGTGTTTTGTAGAGACAGGGTTTTGCCATGTTGCTCAGGCTGGTCTCAAACTCCTGGACTCAGACAATCGCCCACCTTGGCCTCCCAAAATGCTGTGATTATAAGCATAAGCCACCTTGTCTAGCCATGATCCCAAGACATTAACATGTAAATCTGGATGCCAATATATTAGTGTATGATTAGATATTCACATTGTCTGGTCTGGCTAGCTTCTCCTTAGATAGGGCTCAGGAGGACTTTGACAAATTATTGATTTTCACTTGAAATGTAGTTTCCATCCACAAGCAGTAACCCAAAACCTAACCTTCTTTATCTTTTTTCATTAGACATTTTATTTTTCCTTAGGACAGAATGCAAGCAATCTATTAGATCCCTGCTTTCTCAGTATGTCAACCACATCCTAATTTTACTTCTCTGAAATCACTTCTTGATTAGACTTGGGTATTTTCTAAATCTTCTCCCAGGTACATATTTAAAGATCATCTATTAGTGCGTTATTAGCAAATGTAAGGTTCTGGATTTGTCGCATGCCCTTGTGCCTGTGAGCTTCCTTCCAGAGGAGGATTCTGAGGCTGTGAGTAGAGATCAGGACCCTGCCTACCCTATAGTGTGTAAACAGTAAATGTTTCCTAAATTGAACTGAATCCATTATGTTTTATTTCTAGGTTCACTTTCAAAGAGAAATAATATCTATAAGTACTGACGTTTCCTCCCCATTTCCCAACATATTGTCGCCTCCCAGAACTTAACATGGTTGGCCCCTCCGGCTTGTGACCACGTTACTACTTCTCAAAGCATTCTCCTCTCTTGATTTTCATGACCCCACTGTCTTTTGATTTCTCCTGCTTCTTAGCTCTGTCTCTTTTCTCTTCATGGACTTGCTTTTTACCATTAATACTTTGAATGTCTGTGTCTCCCTGAACGCTGCCTCAAACCTCTTCTCTCTCCCCTTTTGCACATACCTGCATTAACTCATCCATGCCATGGCTGCCAGTCCTGCCCTAGCTCCTTTCAGAGCTCCAGACTCATACATCTAGCTACCCACTCACTAGACATCGCCACCCCATGTCCTTCTGCCATTTCAACCTCAATAGACAAATGTGAGCTTCCTTTCCTCATCTACTATACTGTGGAATCAATTCAACAGGTTACAGCCAGCATTAAAAGAATGCAATAGAATAGAACTGATGTGAGAATATCAGAAGGCATTGCTTGTAATAAAGTAGAGAACCATTTGGGGAAAATTTTCTAAGTGTGCACTTGGTTGTGATGTATAATGTTTTCTTACAGTGGGTCATAGTAAAAAACATTTTTTTTTCTATTTCTTCTCCTAACTCTAACAAAAGCTGATATCTTTAGTTCTTTTCCTCTGCATGGCCTTAAATCAGGCCCATGTTGTCTTTTGTCCAGACTATTATGATAGTCTCTAATTGATCTTTCTGCCTCCAGTCTTCCTGCCTATTACACCCTTTCCCCACCTTCCAAACCACCCTCCACAAGCTGTTAGCAGGCTCTCTATAAAACACATATTTGATCATGTTACTCCTTTGTCTAACCTCCTTAGAATCTCCAGCTAGTTTGAGGATAATATCCAAACTCTACTGTCTGTAGTTTAGAGGACCCCTGAGTTCTGTATATAGTAAAAGTATATAGTATATGGTAGTGTATGTGTTAAAAGTTAAACTTAATTATAAAATCATAATAGTATTTTTAAATAAAAAGAATGCAACATTCTACGATAATGTTATGACCATGTGTGCCCCCAAAATCCTAACAGGCCATTGTTTGTAGTTCTTTACATGTGAACTCAGAATCAGAGATATCTCAGTAGAGGCTGCTAAATAAATAAAAACTTCTTCACTAACATAACAACCCTAAATCAAGTTAACACTTATTTTGAAGGGGGAGGAATTTTAAGTCTTGTCTTTTCAGACAGAAATAATATCTTCTCTTTCTTTGCTTACTCTCAGAGTACTTAGGGCACATAGAAAATTCTTTATAAATATGTTTCTTAACATATTAATGAAGGATGACATACGCTACTCTGCACATAAAATAATTCTCATTAGCAGCATCTTTCTCGGTGCCTTTCTATACCCCATTCCTTCCGTTTCAAATGTTCCTCTCTTCTTTGTCCTGTTGGCAAACTCCTGTTCATCCCTCAAAACCTGGATTGAGTGTCCCCTCTTCTGAAAGTCTTCCTTTACTTTGGAGGGGACAGGCACTTGCTGCTTCCTCTTTCCTTTGCACTTGATTCTACTCTTGCTTGTTCTAATTCATGTAAGGGAAGTCTGTCTCCCCCTTCGACTCTGAGCTCCTTGAGGGACAGGTGAAGCTCCTTGCTTCCTCAGCACCTGGTGTGAACAGGCACTCAGTGAGGGCTAGCTAAGCGGAACTGACTACTAAACATCTGATACAAACTTGTTTTTAAGGAGTCTAAAGAAAGAACAATATTCTTTACTTTAAATATGTGTTTATAGTTTGCAGAAATTTAAATCAGTGACCTCTGATACTCTTCCAGAGCTGAGAAACCAGAAGTTCAACATCCATAGCTAAATTTCATTCAGCAGTGATACTACTTGAATCATTTTGAACAAGTTTCTTAACTTTTCTGCACTTCAGCATAATATTTTTATGCCATTTCTGCTTGAGAACTTACCATAGCACTGTGGCCCTTAATATAAAAAATCTAAATGCCTTTATTTTATTTACTCAATTAGTATTTATTGAGGCTGTGCTAGCTTTGAGGATAAAGCAATGAACAAAGTCAAAGGCAAAGTCTCTACTTTCATGGAGTTATGTTCTAGGGCAAGCGCCTCTGGCTCAAGTCCCTCCAATAGCTGTTTCCTTTTGCCTTCAAGGTGATCGAGCCTCATCAGGGTTTCTCCAGTTGAACTGTAAGAGACTTCTCACTGTTCCCAGTTTCCTCATGCCTGACTATCCTTTCTGCCTGGAATACTCTATATTTCTTCATCAATAGTCAGCATCCAGCCTTTGCTTTATGTTCAGGTTCAAAAGTTATTTCTTTGAGAAAATCATCCCTGATTAACTTAACAATTATTTTTTTCAGTATTTTTATTTCACATCCCACTTGGACAATGCATATGGTTTTCATGTATGTATATTTCTTGATGAGTCTTGAAAATATTTCTCGTCTTCTAAAGTTGATCATAAATATGTTGAGGTAAAACCTGTGTCTTCTACTTTGTGTGTGTGTGTGTGTGTGTGTGTGTGTGTGTGTGTGGTAGAAACAGCTTATTGTTCCCTGATATACGTCCTCACTTTCCTCCTTTTAATACTAGAACCCCCTAAAATTTTATCTGGGCACATGGCTGCCCAGATAGAGACAACATTTCCCACCCTCCTTTGCAACTAGGTAAGGCCACAAGACTAAATTCTGGCCAATGGAATGTCAACAGGAGTGACACATGCAAGTTCTAGGAATTGCTTGCCCTCTACATGCTTATCCCCCTTCCCATGGACTGGAATGTGACCTTGCAGATAGAGGGCAAGCCCCAAAGTAACGGTGAAACAAAGAGGTTATCTGGGTTCCTGGGCTACCTTTTGGAGCAGACCTTTCTTATACCACTGGATGGCCTATGGGCTTGATTTAACATAAAATGTTTATTTATTCATGAGTATATCAAGACTAATCAAGAAATATACATATGTTTTATTTATTTTTGTTTTTTTAAGAGATCAGGGTCTTGCTGTATTGCCCAGGCTGGCCTCAAACTCCTGGGTTCAAGCAATTCTCCCACCTCAGCCTCCCAAGTGGCTGGGACTACAAGTGCATGACACTGTGCCCAACTGAGCTAGATTTTGTGCATTAAAACCTGCATCTTGTTTAGGCCACTGTTGCTGGTCTTTTATAACATTTCCATATCCTAACTCATACCATGCTCTTTGCAGTACTTCACACAGAATAATAAGTGGGAAGCTAAGTGAAAATGTGATTATTTCCCTTTGTTTTGTTTTGTTTTTACTTTTACAGGAAAATATTCTCATTCATTTGGGTTTAAAAGAGAAAGGACGGTTCTGGTATTTTTTCACTGAACTACATTTATTTTGGGGGAAATATGATACACTATCACACTACTCTGTTCTTCCGATATCACCGAATAAGACTTTTGGAAGAATTATCTGGAATAGAAATCCAAATATGGCATTAAAGGAAAGAACTTTTAAATCATCAGGAAATCTTACAGAAACATACAGTTTGAATATGTCGGGTGATATGGTCACATTTAACCTCTCTAGCTCCTTGTGCTACCCACCAACTGTACCACCACGTCCCAGGACTGCAAAGCAGAGCAAACAACGTACCTCCAAATCTCCTGAGATATTGGCACCAGCAAGAATCCCAGTAGCTGCTGGGAAAAAAATGGCAAAGACAGAGAAGAAGCCTTCACCCTTTGTGAAGCGTGGCCCAAAGTTTTCTGCAAATATTGATGCTGCAACATAAATTATAAGAAAGTTATCATGTAGACATTTTTCACAGTGTAGGAGATTAAGTTACGGTTGGCTTCCCTAGCCCTAAATGCAAATACACTCCTATGTTCTAATTTTTTTTTTTTTTTTGAGACAGAGTCTCACTCTGTTGCCCAGGCTGGAGTGCAATGGCATGATCTCAGCTCACTGTAACCTCCGCTTCCCAGGTTCAAGCAACCAAGCGATTCTCCTGCCTCAGCCTCCCAAGTAGCTGAGATTACAGGCACCTGCCACACACCTGGCTAATTTTTTGTATTTTTAGTAGAGACGGGGTTTCACCATGTGGGCCAGGCTGGTCTCGAACTCCTGACCTCAGGGGATCCACCCGCCTCAGTCTCCCAAAGGGCTGGGATTACAGCCATGAGCCACTGCACCTGGCTACATTCCTATATTCTAAATGGAATGAACTTCAAGATGTGGTGTACTCCTGAGGAACTTTATGTTAATATTTGCCAAAAGTCAAAATATATATCGTAAGCTTTTAGATCTCTATGACATCGTTCTGAAAAATCAATTTTTGTGCCGACAGAGATCCAGGCTGTCTGACTTTTTTGCATCTAGAAAAAGTTGAAAGAGGAGGAGATGAAGAATTCTCTCACGACCACACTGGCATACCCACAAATGCACCACCACACACATACACACACACACAACTACATTCTCACACGCATAAATACCATAAACAATCAATACACTGGTTTTCGATGCCTTTTTTTTTTGTAGTTGAAGAACCTTGTGGGTGAGTCTACTTTACAATTTTGCTACTAATGTATGAATCTTTTTACTCTTTACTCCTGGGTATTAGATCTTAGCTGCTTATACCAAATCCTCAGTATGGGAGAATATTATGATGAGGAGCTTTGTTAATAAAATAATACCATCCCACAGGTTGTCACCAAATTACTCAAATAAAAAGGAAACAACCTGGAAGAAAAACAGGAGGAAAAAAGAGAAAAGAAGAGGCAAAAAAATGTGAACAAAAGAATCTGGGATGGAAAAATAGGAAAAAAAGGCTTAAAGAAAAAAAAATATGGTAGGAGTGGGAAGGAGGGAAAATAATAGAAAGGAAAAGGATATTAACATGCAAAGTGAACCAGAAAGTCTTTATGAAGAAAAGGAGTCAGGAAGAAAGAGATATGTGATATCAAAAAGAAATAAATACTGACCACTGAGTAAATAATGAAGGGAAACATTTAAAGACTCAGCAGTGGATTCTTGAGCAAGCTAGAGGGAAAAGAAAGGCGAGAACAGATAGAAGGAGTAAAATAAGGAGAGAAAGAAGTCAGATTTCACGCTCTGTGATATTATCATAGGATGCTACACTGAGTAACTCCTGCAGTCTTTTCTGCCTGAAAGCCTGACAGTGATGCTTCACTAGGTAATGCTATGGGAAAGCAAGGTGCAAACAAGTCTAGCAGGAAGAAAGAAATGCCTATGTTTGACTTTAGTGCTCTGCAGTGGCTGAACAAACTGAGCTGTGTCTCTGTTTCTGCTATTTGACAGCAACAACAAAAGGTTTACAAAGCACTTCTGCATCGCAAAGCACATTTTGAGAAACTGTCTTACTTGTTTCTCAAAATTCCCTCAGGAAGTTCTTATTATCGTCCACATTTTGGCAGGAAAATCTGAGACCCAGTCACATTAGGTGTTCTGTCCAGCTGTTAAGTGGCAGAATTGAGACCCAACCTTGGGTCTCCTGAATCCAACACCAGGCTCTTTCCTGGAGAAATTTACTATCCATTTTATCACTAGTGAAACTCATATATTTTCTGGTTCTAAAACCTATGGTGTGCCCAGATTTGCTGGTGAGGTACTGGGTTTCAGAAGAGAATGATAGTTTTTGCCTCTATTATGCTTCCCCAATGCACTTCCCATTTCTTTTGAGCTTCCGCATCCACAGGTAACTTGAAAGGGGAGCCAGGCATTCTGATGGCTGGGGTTGGGGTGATAGGGATGGTGACGAGGAGGGCAATGGAGAAGTATTCAGTGAAAAGCAACCAATTTATTCCATGTACCTTGGTAATTAAAGAAACCTCTGGACTTTTTCTCATTGTTGGATGGAATGACAGTTCCAATGAAGAAGTTTGCAATAGCAATGAGAAGAATGACCAGAAGAATCACTTGGGCCTGGAATGGCAAGGTAAAAGGAAACCAAATTAGATTTATTTAACAACTTTTTACATAATTGTAAAAGTTAGAAGTGTCCACTGCAGAAAGACTCCATCTGATTATTTCAGTTAAATCTCTGCTACCCAGAGTAGGTAATAAGTGCATCCTTATTAGAATGGCATGTAAACAGGCCTTATTCTACTTGGATGCATATACCACATTTTTAATGGAGCACGTGTTTGGGCACTTCAAGGTGACATTTCTGTAACACTCTAAGTAGCAGGTGGGTAACTTCCACCATTGTCCCAGGAATGTAAATGAAGCCAAAAGTTTTAACACTGATAGACTTGAGGGGGTTTTGTTTGTTTGTTTTCGGCAGAGCACTTATCGGTTGTTTCTGTTCCCAGTGCTAACTGCAGGAGTTCGAGAATGCAGAATGATGAATAGAATTCCTGTGATGCCCAGTGCACTTGACGTCAGGCTACCACTGTGTGCTCAGCACAAGCAGTCTGCAAGGTTGACTGGCCAGATGGTCTTCCTTCAGCCCCTCCAATGCTGCAAGGTGTTTATGGCTTGGTGTTGCCATATGCTGTTTCCTTTACCTGGAAAGCACTTCACTCTACTTCTTGCATAGCTATTTCCTTCTTTTCATCCTTTAAGTCTTAGTTACCTCCTCAGAGAGGCCTTTCTTGACAATTTAATCTTTTATGTTTTATTATTTTATTTTGTTTTGTTTTCCCGAGATGGAGTCTCACTCTGTCGCCCAGGCTGGAGTGCAATGGCGTGATCTGGGCTCACTGCAACCTCCACCTCCTGGGTTCAAGCAACCCTCCTGCCTCAGCCTCCCGAGTAGCTGGGATTACAGGCATATGCCACCCTGGCTAATATTGTATTTTTAGTAGAGACAGGGTTTCACCATGTTGGCCAGGCTAGTCTCGAACTCCTGACCTTGTGATCTGCCCTCCTCAGCCTCCCAAAGTGCTGGGATTACAGGTGTGAGCCACCGTGCCCAGCCCATTTAAATAGTAACAGCTGTCTGTTTACTGAGGGCTTACAATAGAACAGATGCAGATTTGAATTTACCTGTGTTCTTTTAAGGTAAATAATACCACTAACAAACTGGCAGCATTATGAAGTAGGCAATATTATTATCCTCATTTTAAAGATAAAGACACTGAAGCACCGAGAGGTTACACGATTTACTGAAGGCCACAGAGATATAAACTGGATTCAAATTCAGGCACTCTAACTACAGAGCTAGAGCTTTAAATGCTACCCTCTACTGCTACTAAACTTCATTGCCTCACTCAGGGAATAGAGTTATCTAAAGTAGGGTTCTCCTATGTTTTTTCTCCTATGTTTTTTCAATCACAGTGTCCTGTTGATACTAATTTTCACGAATTCCCTTTTTATATTTATTTCTTTATTTGCTTGCTTATTATTGATCTCTTCGTAGACCATACATAGGGATTAGGCCTGTTTTGGTCACAGGTGAATATCAGTGCCTAGAAGAATGCTCAACACGTGGTAGGCACTTACTGAAGTTTTGTTGAATGTGTGAATGCATAATCTATAAATAAATGCCATGTAGGAATGTTTTCTGTTGACTTATATAGGTGGGAGGCTTTGGCTGTCTTTCCACGTCTCATGACCGCTTGAGATCCAGTTACTTCCTCCACAGGCATGTAGGAATACTTTCCATTGCACCGGTCACTTGAGGGAATTACAAAGGAGGCAAAAGAAATGTTTCCCATCATTCAAAAATTTGCTATCCATTTTATCACTGGTTAAACTCAGAGATTTTCTGGTTCTGAAGCCCATGATGTGCCTAAATTTGCTGGTGAAGTACTGGGTTTCAGAAGAGAATGATAGTTTTTGCCTCTTATATAGGTGCCTCCCACCTGTATAAGTCAATAGAAAACATTCCTACATGGCATTTATTTATAGATTATGCATTCACACATTCAACAAAACTTCAGTAAGTGCCTACCACATGTTGAACATTCTTCTAGGCACTGATACTCACCTGTGACCAAAACAGGCCTAATCCTTACGTATGGTCTACGAAGAGATCAATAATAAGCAAGCAAATAAAGAAATACATATAAAAAGGGAATTCGTGAAAATTAGTATCAACAGGACACTGTGATTGAAAAAACATAGGAGAACCCTACTTTAGATAACTTTATTCCCTGAGCGAGGCAATGAAGTTTAGTAGCAGTAGAGGGTAGCATTTAAAGCTCTAGCTCTGTAGTTAGAGTGCCTGAATTTGAAACCAGTTTATATCTCTGTGGCCTTCAGTAAATTGTGTAACCTCTCGGTGCTTCAGTGTCTTTATCTTTTGCAAGTTTCTTTGGCAAGCTTCCAACACACTTGCCATTTCTCTTGGGCTTTTGCACCCACAGGCAGCTTGAAAGAGGAACCAGGGTTTGTGATTGAAAGACCCAGGCTTCCAACGTGCACCGCTGCTATGATCATAAGGGGTCTGTGCATAAGGCAGCCGCTTTGGTGAAAGCACAGAGAGACAAAATACAGCAGTCACGTGACTCATGAGCCCTGAGTCATGACTGCCTGGGCTTCGTGTTTGCAGGCTTGGTGTTCCACCTAGCACTTGCCTGCTCATTTCAACATAGCAGGTAATAACAGCAATTCTTTTTGAATATGGAGTTCCTTCTACTCCTGCAATCTATTCAGGACCTGACCAACCACTGTTGATAATATCATTTTTGAGAAATTTACCTTTGCCTCCCATTCCATTCCAGCTACTGAAATTCCTAGAAGAATCACCACTGTGATGGAGCCTATAATCCGGATGTCATTGGTTGGATCCACCATCATCGAATCACTCTCCTGGGGAAACAAATTTGTAAGTGCTTAGAGATACAGCTTTTTGCATGTGAGTCTTATTGCAATGTTTAACTGTAAAAAGAGTTACTATACAATTACACCTGGGGCCATATAGGATGATAGAAAAATGGAGTATTCATAAATATATGAAGATAAAAATACCTAACTTTTTTTTTTTCTGTGATAATAGGCCTTTGATAGTCAAGGTTAGGAGTTAGACATTTTAGAATTCATTCTAGCTTTTGAAGCCGTTGTAGTACTAAGTAAAAATACGTATACACATACATACTGTGTTTTATTTCAGAAGAATGACTAGTTATTTCTGTGTGTCAAGGGGAATCCTAGCAGAATAAAAATGAATGGTTTACAGTATAAATACTGAAAGTTAAGTGGCGTCCTATTTAAGAACAGATGACACAAACCTGATAATGCATCTCTTGAAGGTAATATACCTTATGAACTGTAAGCTTATTTATTTATCTAATTTTTAACTAGAGGTACTTTTTCCAATTGAATTCACTGAATGCTACCATTACTATGAGAAAAGGACTAGAAATTAGTTGATGTATCAGCTAATGAATGTGCTTGCACATACAACATCCTCCACTGGGCACCTAAACTAGGAAATGTCTAGTTTTCTGGAGTGAGTTATTTTAATTTTTCAACTTTCTTTCCTTCTGGAAATCTATAACCATCATCATAGTACTACTGTTGACAGCAATATCCATTATTTATCTGATGTTTCCTATTTTACATAGTATTTCATGTACATTATTTCATTTGATCTGTGCCACACTTCTGTGAAATACATACAACAGTATGATTACACCATGTTATAGATTTGGAAAACAAAGTCTGGAAGAATAGAGGAACTAATCCAAACCTTCTTGGCTGGTAAACACGAGAACCTAGACTCAAAGCCAGATCTTCTGAGGCCAAGCCCAGGCTCCTTCCACTATATTTATCTTTTTTCCTCTCATTTAGCTGTAATGATATCCCCTAGTGCCCTGAGAAGGCAAACTAAACTAAATTGTGCTGCTTGGCAGAAAAAAAGAAAAGCTTTTAATTACCTTAAGAAGATCTACTACAGTCTCAGCAAATCCCACCACATACATAGCAACAGCCACTGCATTAGCAAAAGCAAAGATCAGGCCTATTGACCCACCGAACTCGGGCCCTAAACTTCTGGAAATAAGATAGTAGGCCCCACCTGAAACAAGAAATGAACATACTTTACATTGAGGAACTGCTAGTTTATATGACCAAATGATTGTGACTATCTGAGAACATTTACAGTGTGAATTATTTCAATATTAATATTACAACTTCCTAATAATTTTAGGAATCCTGTGTTACCCAGTGAATAACGTAGCCCTTCTTGGTACTCTGTACTTAATCTACAATAGAGGTATCCTGACTTAATGAAGCCCAATCTATTAAAACCTAAATGCAAAAAATCTACAAATAAGAACACAGCAAACTTTACCAAGAAATGTGTTGACTTTATCAAAATATCATTGGAGTATTCAAATTAATAATGCAACTGAAGTAAAATTATATATAAAAAATTTCCAGGAATAGGAAAGTCTAGGTAGAAAATGGAGTAGGTGAAGTTTATCTTTGTTATTCTAACTTCCTTTCTGTTGTGTATATATGTACTATATATATACATACATATATAGATATTTGTACATATATACAATTTCCTGATATACATGTACTGCATAAAACAAGATATCTGTATTATCCATTCTATAAATCAAACTTGCTTTTCTATGTTTTTAGTGAAAGAAGGCATGATACATATATATATATATATAAACATATATATACAAAACATTTATAGGTACATATGTAAAATTTTCTGATATATATGTGCTGCATAAAACAAGATATCTATAAAGTGTGATATATTATTCATTCTATCAAGCTTGGTTTTCTATGTTTTTAGCTCAAGAAGGCATGATTATTGCTAAATACCCATATATGTATGAGTGTGGCCAGTAGGTCCCTTGCCTGTTGGCCACTGATAGCACAATGTTTGGGAGTGGCAAGTGGGAAGAAAAGTGGGGAGGGTCTGGAACAATTACTTCTCCCTTGGACATTGAAAAAGTAGTTCTATTAAATATATATAGTTGTATACTTCGGTGCACATGAAGCATTGAACTAGATTGCTCAACTGCCTAGAGGGGTACCTAGGGCAGCTTATTGAAGGTGAAAAGGACTAAATGTTAGGAGGTCTGATTATCACAGACCATAGTAAGATTGACTTCCTATATAGAGGTGGCCTTGGAGGTGGGCAGAGTTGGCACACGAATGACAAACAAACACACCTGAAAACAAAACAAAATTACTTTTTGCTGAGAAGAAATTTGTTTCACTATAGTAACTCTTTTGGGCTCAGGAGTCAAAGACCTCTCTAAAAATGTCGCATATTGTCTGGGTGGAGCAAATCCCCATTATTTCCTTTGTACAGATTACCTGAAACAAATGAGCTAGCCAGTTACCTAGGTGGGCTGGGTCAACATGAGAGACAGGCAGAAGATGAGAGTGGACGTGTGTCATGGGCAGGATGGTGTTTTAGAAGGCCCTGAGTAGGAAGACCTGGATAAGGTACCCAAGTTGAGAACCAGAGAAACCAAAGGGGAAAGGGGGGGCGAACAAAGGAAGACAGAAGAACAACGATACATTTCATCCATTTCACTTTCTGCCTAGGCCTGCCTACTCCTAGATTATTTGAAAGTAACTCTTTGCTTATTTATTTACTTATCCCCTTTTAATGATCTTCCCTTGCCTGTTGGCCATTGGGGGCACAGTGTTTGGGGTGAGCCCCGAGGCCTGGGTGCAGGGGTGGTTTACTGAGTGAGAACCATCAGCAATGCCAACTGGGGCACTGAAGAAGACCCATGCTGAGGGGACCTGCGAGAGAGCAAGTGGGTCTCATCCAAGGTACAAAGAAACCATATATTTTGCTATAATATTCCATACCTTCTTACTAGACACTTAGTCACTCTCCACTTTATAAACATGTTTCGTTACAAAAAATGGGTGGTGTCAATGAAGATATTCTCATTTTAGTTGAGAAAAGTTTTGCTTTGCTGTTTAAATTTTCGGTTATTTTGTTTTGTTTTAGGATATTGGGGACTAATTAGGAATATGTTAATTTCACTTCCAATAGTAAACTAATTCCAGACATTACTAGTAGCCAAGCCTCTAGTCATAAGTAAATTAATTGGCTTACCTCCTCTTACTACTCCGTTCGTGCAAATAGCAGACATAGAAATACCTGTGAGTGTCGTCACTACCACACTCAGGCCAATGATGATGACTCCAAGACCTGCAAAATCCCCCAAGAGAGGTGTTTGGTTCCAGTATTGAGAGAAGTCACCAGTACTTCAGGAGGCAGCAGTCTGAATCTTGTCACAGAAAGATCCACCTCCCTGTGAAAACCTGAAATGTTCTAAAAGATCCCATTTCATGAAGGTCTAGGAAGCACCTGAAATGTACTGAACTTTAAAATGGAAGCCAAATCTGGGAATTGTTTTCCAAGGAACATCAGCTAGAGGAGTGCAGACTAGCCTGAAAAAGAAAAAGTTTACCTAAGGAGGGTGCACATCTGTAAAGCACAACCTACAACGTGTCAGAGAGATCCATTAGAAAAGAGACCAGAGTAGACCTGGACTATTCTCATCGTACCTTAGGTTTTCTTTGGCATCCAGCTCCTCCAGATAGCCAGGCTTCAAGAACATTGGGCTACTTCCTTGTTCCCATCAAAAAGTATAAAAAATTGTTTGCCTACCCGTAGCAAGTGATGAGGGCATTAGATATCTTAGAGATTTTACCTCCACGAACAAACCCGTTAGTTGCTATTGCAGAAGTTGACAACCCAGTAATAGAAGTTACCATGGTGGAAAGAAGAATTATGAGAACTCCAAGACCTGTTAGCAATGAAAGATAGAAGATATTGCATTTTACTTTTCTTCCTTGGATTCCCTATTGCTGCAAACCACACTGCCTTTAATTTAAGTTTTCAGGTCCATGCCTCGGGCTCCAACGGGGTTTCTTTGTGCTAAGGAGAAACTGGTTTGCCTGGCATAAAGACCAAATCAGAGAACTGCTCATTATGATGAAGGATGGTTTCCAAAAGTAAACACAATCTAAAGTGCAGCCTTGGAAAGGAAAAGTTGACTTATGCTGGTGTCCTGGGGGAGAAACTATCCTGGCTGTGAAAAGAGAAAACATGACATTTGACCTTCTTTCTTGCTTGAAGGAACCGGAATGAGAAAGTTGGGGGTTTGACAAAGGTTAAATCCTTCCCCATTTTTCTTGCATCTCTTTGCCTGATGGGGGAAAAGAAACCAACTTGCATTACCTTTGAAAACACTCCAGAAAGGTCAGTGATGAACTATTAGAGCCTGTGTTGCCTTTACCTTACAAATGAGGGTGCGGGTCACAAGTTTAATTACCTCCTCTGACACATCCATTTGTGGCAATAGCAGAGGTGGATAAACCAGTGATACCAGTCACTGTCACGGCTAAGCCGATGATAATCACACCAAGACCTCAGTTGAAAGAGGAAAAATAAAGGGATTAAATAGTGGAAGAATTCATTGGGTCATTTACATAAAAACCAACAAGTCTAGGGTAAACATCAAAGGACCACATTTGAGTTTAACAAGTTGGCCAGAAAATCACCATGGAGTAAATGCTTAGCTTTGAAGTTTTCTGCTTGTAGTAGCTCTGGTTCCAAGAAACTCAAGAGCTAAAATGTGCAGAACTAAGTTGTACAAAACAAAACCACTAGGGCTGGTCAAAATTTAATGTGCACCCCATCTTCTTCTTATTATTATTTTTAGAGACAGTCTTGCTATTTTTTCCAGGCTGGTCTCAAACTCCTGGCCTCAAGTCATCCTCCTACCTCAGTCTCCCAAGTAACTGGGACTACAGGCTTACACTATTACACCTGACAGAATTCCATCTTTGGAGAAGTTCTAGACACCTATAACATAATAATTGGCCTACAATTCCAAGCTGTCAAGGTAACAGATTAAATGTTCACCCTTCCAGGCTGCTATCTTTTTACCTACATTTGGTCACATAGGGGTGGGGAACTACAGACAGTATAGCAAATTATTCACCTGGCAGATGGGTACAGTGGAAAGAATGAAACTAAATTTCATTAACTTATTGACGGTGTGAATTCTGGAAAGTTACCTGTTATTATAAGTCACTTTAAATAAATAAATAACTGAGCTAAGAAATAGCAATGAAATTAGAAAGAATGCATGTGTAAAGTGACTAGCATAGCACATGGAACACAGTACACACTCAATGATACTGCTTTTTGATCATATCCACAATAGTCATAATACTCACTGCTTTTTAAAAACCTACTCTATATCCAGCTATGCGGCAGGTAATACAAGAAATACAAGGCACAAATAAAATGAAATTTGAAAAAGTGCCCCAAGGATTTTATGGTTCAGAGGGTTGACGATTATAAGGAGAGGGAGAAAGTGGTAGAGGCTAGAATTCAATGAAGGCGTGACTGCTTTCAGCTTCAAGAAACACATAGCCAGGAGGCTACAGAAGGGTATCACAATATACCACTTTGGCATAAGGATTATTTGGACAACTGAAAAAAAGTAGATACAAGAAAAGCTCTTGATCCCCTTCCTATTTACCTAAAAACAGGACATAAATTTGTCCTCCCTCCCCTCTCTACCAGGAAATGGTGTCTCTGATCACCAGAGACAATTTTGGATGCTTATCAGCCTGACAAAGGCACCACAGGCATCTACACAACAAGCTTTGCTGACTAGCTCTTAACTTCCATTCCTTTCCTTATATATTTATCTTGCCAGCATTCGCCACCCTATGAATGAAAAGTCCTTTTCCTTCGTCTTGTCACCTCTCTACAATTTAATTGTTCTTTTGTTAAGATGATATGTAAGCCCATGTTCTAACCACCCCTTTCAGTCACTCATCACTGACTGGTCCCAAGTGTGTGTACCATGTACATATTAACAAATTATGTTTTTCTCTTATTGATCTGACTTTTGTCAGTCTATTTTATAGGCCCCCAGCCAATTAACCTAAGATGGGTAGAAGATAACCATTTTTCCCTCCCTACAATACCCTCTCTAATGGAGGCTGACCCAGAATTCAGGGAGAGGGCTGTGGAGTCACAGCCACTGAACTCACTCTGGCTCCATCCAGAATGCTCTGGTCTGGGCTTTTTGGTAAGTTCCGCTACGTAAAGTGAATGCTCCATAGTTGTTGTTGGCAGTCTCTCTTGTCCCAAGGATGGTTAGAAGGGTAGTTAGCCAAGAGAGGCTGTTATCTCTCTGGCGATGCCCGAAGAGAAGGGAAAGTGAAAGGAGGTTAAGGGCAGCAGTGGGAATGAGTCAAGGTATTAAAGGGTGGTTCTTTTGAAGCTCTTGGCCATACCCTGTCTCTAACAGGAGGCTCTAGGCTTTTTTGCAGGTTAAAGTGCAGTGGGAAGAGGCTAACTAAGCAGAGGCTGCAAACTTAGACCACATTGCTTTGGACCCTGTAGACTCTTAAAAGCTAGGGGTTGTAAAAAATAGTTGGACTAAATTCTTCATATCTGTTGCAGGGATACTGTGGTGAGCAGCGCCTCTATATCACTATGTGGCTTCAGGTCCTTGTGCCACTAAAGATGATTTGTTTTGCATTTGTTTTGCTCCTGACTTTGTTTTGAAGAGGCTTGATAGAAAATGTTTAGCATACCCCAGAAACTCTACAGGACCATATAATTTGCATCTCATAACATTAAACCTACTCCAACCTTATTATTTCCTCACCATTATTTTCCTTTTGATTCTAATTTTTTCCAACAATTCTTAATTCATCCTTTTGCATTGTATATATTTCTGAAACCATTTGAAATCTTGGAACAAAGTTTTAATACTTTTGAACAGCAAGGGATTTGCTTCTCTCTCATAATCAAAAATAAAATCCCAGGGTAGAAGGCAGCTGGGAGCACATTCAGTTCGTTGTTTTCTGAAATTGTGGTTCTTGAACCACCTGCTTCAGGAAATGCCTGGGGTGCTTATTAAAAATGCTCAGACCTACTGAGTTTGGATCTTTAAAAGTAAATCCCAGGATTCTGAGGTTTCCTAACCTAACTTCCCAGATAATTCTTATGCATCCCTCAGTAAGACAACTGAGCTACCCTCAGCCTATTTAACTTGTGTCTGCCTGTTCAGAAAGGTACATTAGCTTTATCTTCAAAGAATTCATTGGGCAGGAATTAACCTGCTCCTTAATATTTAGAAAAGAAAGGGAAACACTGAATATAAGTGACTTGCTTCAGGTCATGCCGGCTTTTCACACCCAACATCCTTGCTTGATGGTTAAATTTATTGGAAACCATCTTGCCCCAGCAAAGTCTCCAAGATAGAGAAGAACAACTAGACAGCATTATCAGCTCATTCCACCCTTTGCTTTTGGGAACAAGACAGCCAAAACTCATAGCCCAGAATGGTTACCCAAGGGCTGTAGCTACTGTTACTCCTGGCTCCAGATTCCTTCTGGCTCTATTCCCAGGGTCTGGGCTTGAAAACATATTTAGTTTTCTTCCTCAATCTACCCCCAAAGCAAGAACAAATAGATGTATTTGTTTCTCTTCTTTCCTGATAAGGAAAACCCAAATGGGACCCAGATGGTGACTTAACTCATTTAGTTTTAGGTTCATAGCAAAGGCCAGTAAAACTGAGTAAGGTTGACAATAAGTTTCTAGTACTCACTAAAGTCTATCTTCCGAGAATTAAAAAAAAGAAAAGAAAAACACAAACCTCCATTCAAAGGAAAACCCATTGAACACTTACTAGGTAGAATTTTAGTCTCTTCTAATATATAATTTCACTACTTCAATATAAAGATCTATATTAAAATAAAATTAATATCTGATAGTATAATAAACTGTTTAGCAGAAGATAGGATTCTTCATTCTCTACGGTTTTGCAATAAACTCAAAACTGCGTTGACTGTGAAGAGTAATGTAAGATCTGATTAAAGTTCAGATTATTGCCCAAACATACGGATGTTAAATAAGTTGCATTAAAAAGAATTACTCTTGCCCTTGGCTACTCTCACACCTCCAAACAAAGTAATGTTTCTTGATGATCTCAATAAGTTACTAAACTACCCTTAAAAACCTAATTTTGCATGAAACCCTGGAGCAAAACCTTGGCAATATTAAGATGCAGATTTTCCATGGAACGGCATATACTTATTTTGGACCCTGCGGCTGTGAGCATTCATTTGCTATGCTTCATAAAACCGGCAAGCAGCCCTCTGTCAGGAACCCAGCAGTTGCCAAACATGAAACATGGAAAAACTATGGGAACTGGCTCCAGTTTTTCAATTTACAGCTTAGCCTTTTCTTTTCTGAGTTAGTCTTCCGGTGATGCTGAATGTGTTTTGAAGAGCAAAGTCAATAAATAATGACCAACTACCTTCCAAAATGTGAATTGAGATACCTTCTGGAGTGCTATCTGAAGGCACAATAGAACTTCCGTATTCTTGAGACTAAGTCTTCTCCAGAGAGTGAATTCATAATGTATTTCCCATATATGGAATAGAACATCATTAATTTTTATCTCATTAAATGGGGAACTTTAATAAAATTCAATTATATTTTTCATAAAAACTTTACTAATATAGTTTCAACAAAAAAAGATTTGCTAGAAGAAATAATATTTAAGATGGAGTGTAATATTTAAAACATTAAACAATCACTCAAAATAATGTCATTATTATCCATTTTTCATTTAGAAAAAATAACAGTAATATACATATTATCTTAGTCATTTCATTTTTCACTTTAAGCTCATATCTGGCAATACTCGATTAGCCTTTGTTTTCTGACTGCTGGTACCTGAAAGTAACACAATTATTTTCTTTGGAAAAAGTTCAACAATTCAGCATTTTTATTAGTCAGGTCACATTTTCTTTCACCAGTTTTCCCACAAGATATTTTTGTTCAGTGAAGTTTTACCAATCATCCCAAGAAGGATACTGTGTAACAAATGAGAGGCAAATGTCAATATGTCCCCAAATACAAATGTTATTATCCAAAATTAACGTGCTATTATATGTCTGTATACCTAAAACTCTATCAAAAGATAGAGATATCTCCTTGAGCATTCGCCTGTTTGACAAGCTGGAAAATTCCAGTCTCACAGGAGTTAACTCTTCACCTTTGCTTTCTGACAAACATCATCAAAGAAGCAAAGTAAAAGCAGCTCAACTGTAAATTATTTCTGTGACCTTCATCTCACATTCAGTACTAATGGTGAAAAAAGGTTGCTCATTGAATTTATAATTTATATCAAAATTATTTAGGAGGGGAAAAATGCTTACCAATTCCAGCTTCTCCAACAATCCAGGAGAGGCGAATGAAGAGCATGACTCCCCAGATGTTCAGCATGCATCTTACCTGTGGATAGAAGTGGTATTGAAAGGAGACAGGACAATGATAGTGGGACAAAACCCGTAGCTCTTCATAATGCTGTGCCCAGGCCTTGTTCACTCTTAATCCACTAGAACATTTAATGGATAGTTTTAATTTGTAAACAGAGGAGCTTTCTCACCAGCACACCTTTCACCCATCCAAACTTCACGACACCAGCTTGATCGTCTTCCTTATTTTCAGCTTGCTCATCTCCAGGTATCCCATCACCGTTAGCAACTCTGTCAGCTGAACTTGGGGTGACTGCCACATTCTGCATTTTATAGACAGCAAAAACACAGTAACTGGTCAACGAACAAAGGGATCAATAAAACTTTTCAAGGCAAATCAAAACAATTGAAATAAAACTTAAAATACCAAAAAATAAAAAAGAAAAAGAAAAATAAACCCAAACAAACTAAATATATTCTGAGCATTTTAATGAAACTTATATTTTTTGCCCTGGAAGCTGAAAGGTTTGTTTTGTGAGTCATCTTAAAGTGTTTTTTAGGGCTGCAGGGGTGGTGAAGGAAACCTGAGCTGTTCTTCCACTAGTGAGAATATTCCCTCTGGTGAAAAGTCAGATTTGAATAAGTTTAGTACATAAGAAGAACAAAAGAGAGAAGGGCTACAAGGAAGGGAGAGCCAGAGTAAATGAGGGTCTTTGGAAGTCATGTTATGACCAAAGAGAGAACCTTCCTGAGCTAAGCAGAGGATCTGCACTTCTGTCAGTAAAACTCCCTGTACTTCATTTTATTCATCTCTCTCTCTCTCTTATCTATCTATCTATCTATCTATTATCTATCTATCATCTATCTATTATCTATCTATCATCTATCTATTATCTATCTATCATCTATTATCTATCTATTATCTATCTATCATCTATCTATTATCTGTCTGTCTGTCTGTCTATCTATCTATCTACCTACCTACCTACCTAATCTTTTTTTTTCTTGAGACAGAGTCTCCCTCTGTTGCCCAGGCTGGAGTACAGTGGCCAGATGTCAGCTCACTGCAAGCTCCGCCTCCCGGGTTTAGGCCATTCTCGTGCCTCTGCCTCCTGAGTAGCTGGGACTACAGGCGCCCGCCACCTCGCCTGGCTAGTTTTTTGTATTTTTTAGTAGAGACGGGGTTTCACCTTGTTAGCCAGGATGGTCTCGATCTCCTGACCTCGTGATCCACCTATCTCGGCCTCCCAACGTGCTGGGATTACAGGCCTGAGCTACCGCGCCCGGCCTATCCTTTTTTTTTTGAGACTGAGTCTTGCTCTGTCGCCCAGGCTGGAGTGCAGTGGCACAATCTTGGCTCACTGCAACCTGTGCCTCCCGGGTTAAGGCGGTTCTTGTCCCTCAGCCTCCTGAGTAGCTGGGATTACAGGCATGCACCACCACACCCAGCTAATCTTTTGTATTTTTAGTAGAGACAGGGTTTTGCCATGTTGCCCATGGCTGGTCTCAAACTCCTGAACTCAGGCAATCCACCAGCTTCAGCCTCCCAAAGTGCTAGGATTAGAGGTGTGAGCCACCATGGCTATCCCATTTTATTCATTTTAAATCATGATAATAAAACTTCTCTACACACCTCAGAGGATCTTTAAGAAAATTCAGTGAAAGACACATAGACCTGTTTCTTTCTTTCCTTTCTTCTTTTTTCTTTTCTCCTCTTTTCTTTTTTCTTTCTCTCTCTCTCTCTTCCTTCCTTCCTTCCTTCCTTCCTTCCTTCCTTCCTTCCTTCCTTCCTTCCTCTTTCTTTCTTTCTCTTTGACAGAGTCTTGCTCTGTTGCCCAGGCTGGAGTGCAGTGGCATGAATTTGGCTCACTGCAACCTCCATGTCCCAGATTCAAGTGATTCTCCTGCCTCAACCTCCAGAGTAGCTGGGATACAGGTGCGCACCACCACACCCAGGTAATTTTTGTATTTTTAGTAGAGACGGGGCTTCACCATGTTGGCCAGGATAGTCTTGATCTCTTGACCTCATGACCCACCCGCCTTGGCCTCCCAAAGTGCTGAGATTACAGACATGAGCCACCACACCTGGCCAACATGTTTTCTAAGAAAACAAAACAAAAAAGTTAAAAGTATTCCACAAAAGTTTAAATGCACTGGATGACGACAAGAATGTTATCCTGTAGAAGTTTCTTTGAGATTCACTTATGCCTTTGCCTGAGAATTGTTGAATGTGCTAGTATCTTATAGAAGATAAGAAGTTTCATAACTGATTACCAGTTGAGTAGAAATAAGAAGTAGGTAGTATAAATAAGGGTTTAAACTTTTAAAAGGTTTTTTCCTGTGACCTGACTTTGAAAAAGACTTCCATTCTCATGAAGATAGTATCTGAGTTCAAGAGGTGAGGAAACAGCTCCTTTTCTGTAAACTGAGAATAGTTTCTATCTCTAATTTCTCTTTAAGATATGGATTTGAATAATTTCAGATGCACCTACTCAATTTAGCTTATCTGGCTTCTACCTGGCCCTTTGTGTAGACTGTACTTCTTTGAGCTCTGAAAAAGGTTTTCTTTTCTAGGAAATATTTTGAAACCACTAGGGAAGTCTCTTAGATTGAGCCCTCAATTACCACGATTATAGAATGACTGTATCTTATTTAAGTGATCTAAACTGGTTTAAGCCTAGGATAATATGTTCTGATATCACTAGTTAAGAAGTCTTAGATAAAGCCATTTTTTCTTCCTCTAAAATGGGACTGGTGTGAAATAAACATCCATAGTTATTATCAAAGGTTCATTTTAGGATGATTGAAGCTCTTGCCCTTGCCATACTCAAAGGCTCTTGCTTCTTTGGGTTAAAATATAGCTTACCCATGGTAAACTGCCCTCATTTGGGCTATATACTCCAAGTGACTTTGACTTCCTGTCTTCTTCTTCCAGCCTGTTCTTCTCCTTGTCTTTTTATTTATTTTTCCTTCCCAAGGTGAGTGCATTTTCTTTGTCTTTGTAAGGATTTCTTCTCAAACTTTCTTCTTCCATGAGACCTTGTTCATAATACTATTGTGACACTTGGATAACCAACATAATACAGTGTCTTAAGAGTCATTGTGTGACAAATGAATCAGAGAAAGATTCAGCACTTAATTACCATTATTATAGGATGATTCTAAGTTGTGGGCTACTTTTTCTCAGTACCAACCAAAGGCTTGGCATATAGCAGGCCATCAATAAACAGTGCTGAATCAGCCAGGCACAGTGGCTCAGACCTGTAATCCCAGCACTTTGGAAGGCTGAGGCAGGAGGATTGCTTGAGCCCAGAAGTTCGAGACCAGCCTAGGCAACATGGCGAAACCCTGTCTCTACAGAAAATAGAAAAAATTAGCTGCATATGGTGGCATGCACCTCTAGTCCCAGCTACTTGGGAGGCTGAGGTGGGAGGATCCCTTGAGCTGGAGAGGTCAAGGTCAAGGCTGCAGTGAACCACAAATGTGCTACTGCATTCCAGCCTGGGTGACAGAGTGAGACCCTATCTCAAGCAAACAAACAAAAACAACAATAACAAAACAATGTGAATTCATGAGGTGGACTTGAAAGTTCGTGATCTCTACCACTTAAGAGCAGATATCCTAGTTTCTTATCCATTCTTGCCTCCTACTTCTTTTATCTTCCATCTCTATGGGATAGCTCATTTCATATTGCTTCTTCTGGGTAGGTCACATTTAAAAGGGAAGAAGAAGAGAATGAATCCTAAGACAGATTATTTTATTATTTTCTGACAGTATTGGGAAAAAATGGAATAACAGAAGAGATTGAAGTTAATAATTAAAATTTAGTTTTTAATTACCTGAAGAATATGTTAATCTTAGATATCCTCAGTCCTTATTTGCACAAATAATTGAAAGCTAACATAATATATTCACACCAGTGTAAGAATAAAGACAGTCCAAAAAATTGAGGCTAACCGAGTGGGGCAGAAAACTGGTTATCTATACCAGCTACAAATGCAAACCAAGTATGTAATTCAAAATTTTCTACTTTTTAAAAAACGAAAAGAAATTGGTGCAATAAATTGGGTTTAGATATGGACCCTTACATTTTAATGTTATATTTAATCTTTGGAGAATATCATATTTCTAATATTTGCAATATAAGTATTTGTTAGCAATAGTTGCACCCCAACTTTCTGGGAACTGAATCACAGGAGTGTTTTAGTAATGTATTTTACTTAATGGAATATCTATAGAATATTATTTCAATATATAATCAGTATAAAAATATTAGGAAATATTTTACATTCTGTTTGTAATACTAAGTCTTTGATATTCAGTGTGTATTTTTCACTGGCAGTACATCTCAATTTGGATTAGCCACGTTCCAAGTGCTCAATAGCCCCATGTGGTTAGTGGCTACCCTATTGGACAGCACAGGTCTATACAATGCAGTCAATTTCAGATGCATGAAACATTTGAGGCTGTTTTTCCAGTCCATTAAAAATTCTGTTTTTCTCTGAAAGAATTCTATACACATATGGCAGCTGAATAGGTCAAATGTAACTTTCATTCTTTCATTACTGAAATGTATAATCAGTGAGAGCAGGGAATTGAGGAATGTGTTAAAATGTCCATGAATGTTGAAGGGATTATTTGGTTAGGAGATCCATTTATTTGGCTTGATTTGAGAAAAACTTTTTAAAAAACTGTCAATATTGTAGTTAATCAAGATCCCATAGCCAGACCATCAGCAGTTACTCACTTTGGGAGAGGGCAGTTTTCATTGTGTAGATTAATTGGGGATCCCAAGAGACACAGCCTTAGTCGCTTGCCTTTTTTAAAGTTGGTCTTGGGAATAAAACCCATGTTTTCTGATTAAGCTTGAAGATTTGGTCTGGGAAATTGCTCTGCTACCTGATAAACTCCAATGGTGATTGTGACCCTTAGATATGAATTGATGAGAATATCCAAGACTGTAAACAAATCTTACAAAGTAGGCTAAAGGATGAATAGGGTATTTAAAATTTCCTCTAAAATGAACATTCCTTCCTGATGGATGCCCTCTCTGGTCACAGTTTAATGGTTCTTCAATTTATCACTAGGACTTCACAATATGATGCAAGAAGAATATTCTATGAGAGGATGGCAGAGAAACCACTATATGTGCAAGTTAGTAAAGCAATCATTTTCTAAATTATTCAAAAGTGTAGTCAATGCAGGGTGTTCAACTCTCCCTTAGGTATGAATAATATGTTCAACCCGCTAGAGTTTCAAAGTTTTAAATATGTTTATACCACAGAGGGGAAAACAACCTCAAATGTATACTTCTTTTGTTGAC